CAGATCATTAACTTGTGACCATTTATAAAACCCATCCTCCACTAACTCTATAAAGAATCCTCAAAACATTAGAGCATTTTGATATGTTACATTACCTCAATCATGAGAACACCAGGCATGATGGGTCGTTCAGGGAAATGTCCAGGGAAGAAATTGTCATTGATTGTGACATTCTTAATAGCTACAGCTGAAACACCTGGCGTATACTCTATCACTCTATCTACCAGCAGAAATGGAAACCTAAAAATGCAACAAACATCAAACCCAAAAATAAAGATCAAAACTTTAAACATGGGTTTCATCGAAAACTCATCAAATCGTCGAAAGTTGAAGTCTTTTTATTATGTACCTGTGAGGCAATATCTCTCTGATCTTGTTAATGTCCATTACCGTTGGAAATGCTGGGAATTCTGGAGATTAAGAGAACAGATTAGTGAGAGAATTTGAAATGTCAGAAACATCAGAAACCGAGAGAAAAATCTTACTGAGTTCAATTGGTGTTTCCTTTTCAGATGAGGTGTTATCGCCATTTGTAGAACAACGAAGCGTGAGAGAATTGGATCGTTTGTTGGGTGGGAGAGAAACAGAGTGAGATCTGGAGGAAGAGAGATGCAGAGGCTGATGATGATGATGATGATGACTCAGTGAGTCAGAACTTAGGAAGAGTACAGAGTTAGAAGTAGTAGCCATTGTCGAGAGTTTAGAGAGAATGTGAGATGTTGTTTTTGCAGGTGAAGGAGCGGAGAGTACAAAGGTTTGTGTGTTAGATTAGTTGAAGCAAAGATAGTGACAAACTTTATGTTTTGGATATATTAACAAAAAGGAAACTAAAGAACAAATGGCCTATTAGCTCAGTTGGTTAGAGCGTCGTGCTAATAACGCGAAGGTCACAGGTTCGATCCCTGTATAGGCCACATTTCTTTTTTTTCTTGTAACCTTTTTGGTTCTCCCGCACAACTTACTTGGACCACTGATTTAATTTAATTTTTTTTTTTTTGATTGAACTAATATAAATTGATTTTTCGTCAAAAATGAAAAATAATAATTATTATAAAATATACATGAGAGCTAAACAAAATTTGGGCGAACCCTAACAATTATTATAAATTGGGCGAACCCAAACATTTCGCTGATCCGTCTAGTGCCTCTGTCCAATAGTGATACAACAGCGAAATCCACCTGCTCGCGATGGCGAATCGACAGAACCTAATTTGATAATTAGCACTTTTTCGGGTCTTGGATAACTCCCGAAGACGTTGGCTACAGGTGGAAGAATATATTGTCCAGAGCTCTTTAGACTTTGGATAGGCCACATTTCTTTTTTTTCTTTTAACCTTTTTGGTTCTCGGTCATTGATAATGTGATAAGTAGTGTGATCACCAAATAGCTTAGTTGGCCACACATCCTACTTGGGCCATTGATTTAATTTTTTTTTTTTTTGATTGAACTAATATAAATTGATTTTTCGTCAAAAATGAAAAATAATAATTATTATAAAATATACATGAGAGCTAAACAAAATTTGGGCGAACCCTAACAATTATTATAAATTGGGCGAACCCAAACATTTCGCTGATCCGTCTAGTGCCTCTGTCCAATAGTGATACAACAGCGAAATCCACCTGCTCGCGATGGCGAATCGACAGAACCTAATTTTATAATTACCACTTTTTCGGATCTTGGATAACTCCCGAAGACGCTGGCTACAGGTGGAAGAATATATTGTCCAGAGCTCTTTAGACTTTGTATAGGCCACATTTCTTTTTTTCTTTTAACCTTTTTAGTTCTCGGTCATTGATAATGTAATAAGTAGTGTGATCACCAAATAGCTTAGTTGGCCGCACATCCTACTTGGGCCATTGATTTAATTTTTTTTTTTTGATTGAACTAATATAAATTGATTTTTCGTCAAAAATGAAAAATAATAATTATTATAAAATATACATGAGAGCTAAACAAAATTTGGGCGAACCCTAATAATTATTATAAATTGGGCGAACCCAAACATTTCGCTGATCCGTCTAGTGCCTCTGTCCAATAGTGATACAACAGCGAAATCCACCTGCTTTCGATGGCGAATCGACAGAACCTAATTTTATAATTAGCACTTTCTCGGATCTTGGATAACTCCCGAAGACGCTGGTTACAGGTGGAAGAATATATTGTCCGGAGCTCTTTAGACTTTGTACATAATAGTATGTATAAGATGTCCTACTCACCAACAAAGTCCTTTAAATTTTGTAAATAATAGTATGTATAAGATGTCTTACTCACTAACGAGAGTTGTGTTACTTAGTCTAACACCCTTTTGTCTTTGTTGGTAATTGCCCTTGATCCTTTTTAAAGGAATGTATTGTCACTCTTTTTATAAGGTTAATGAAATTCACAGATGAAAAAAAAAAAGATGTCCTACCAAACTTGCTAGGAAGCTGAGGCCTTTGTAGTAGTAAATGTAGGCCTGTGATTTCAAACTGTTCAGTTCAATTTGGTTCGATATTCTAGTTATCGATATTTTGGTTGAGAGTCAAGGTTACCAAAATTAAACGAACACAAATTTGGTTCTGATCAGTTCGGTTATTAGTTAATCCGACTTGTTTTTTTTGGCTTAAATCCATACCAAATTTTGGTTTGGAGTGGATAATGATTTTAAAAGGAAATCTGATATAATTTTTGTGAAATTCGGTTTAAATCGATTAGAATTTTTTTTTTTTAAATAGAAAAAAGATTAACGAAACCGAACCGATAACAAAACTCATTTCAAAAATTGCCCATCGATTCTTTTCTATTAACTAACAGGTTAATCAAACCCCAAATTTTTGTTCGTTTCCGTTAATAACCTTATGTCTTAGTTAGTAAAGGTGTCCACAGCAAAAGAGGAAGAGTGGGATATATCAGGATTTTGGAGTTGCATTTATGCACAACCAATGTATATGGAATTTGTTCACTTTGACTAATTTTATAAAATAATCAAATATTAGCTGGATCCACAAAATTAGGCCAGAGTTCATGAACTTTTTAGCATTGTTTTAGATTATCTTGACCATTAGGTGTGGTGAAAGAGTTGACATTTTAAGAAGTCAACTAGTTTCGATAAAATTAGATAACATAGCAAATGATATTTAAAATATAATGGTTATAGTTTCTTGGTTGTAATGATTGTTAATGTCTACTAATTGTTGACAATAAATATGTAGAATGTTTAATTCCTTATAATTGTTGACAAGAAAGATGTAGAATTTTTACATCTTTTGTGAAAATTATTATGATGTGGTGTATATAAGTGTCCACACTACATCACCACAATCCTAATAAATTGTTATAACGTTAGAAAAATAGATTAATTTTTGTTTGTGGGTTGGGAATTAACCATGTTTACGAAAAGTTTGGAGGAGAAAAAAATATGTAAATATATCCATTTTGGCGAAAAACAATTGTCATCTATTTCATTAGACAAATGAATCCTCTATTTTGCAGACCAAAACATTGTAGTCTTTTTTAGTCAATAATTTCCTCAAGAGTAATAATGTAAATGCGTATCTAACAACCCATTAAGGCATTAACTAAAAATGACCTCATTCTAACATAACTCACCAATTTGACGTCAAAATCATAAAATTTTAAGTAAGAATCTCCAAAATGAAGTTAAACTTGAAGTACCAAAATTTGTTTGATCAAAAAAAAAAAAAAAAAGAAGTACCAAAATTTGATTTGAAGAAAGTTTACTGAACAACCGCAAGAAGCGTAAATGTACTAGAACCATACGAATTGATTCACGAAGAATCAATATGTAACGTGAAAAAAAAAAAAAAAAACGTGAAACTTTACAAAGGAGAAATCTAGTGGAGTTTAGCAAACGAAATCGATTTTATGACTGGACCACATATTAAATTACATACAAAAAAAATCTCATAATTTGTAAATTTAATACCTTATTTATTTGCCACACCAAGATTCACATGAAACATTTTCATTCAGAAAAAAAAACATTCACATGGATGATGTTATTAGTAGTATAACACATTCCATTTTTCTCTACCCCGTACTTTGAATGTATTTGTCCAAAAAAAACTACAATTTTCATAGTATAATAAGGTGCCAGATCCATATTCCAAGAGTTATATTTGTCCTTTCACTTGATGGTTAAATGGTTGGAAAGCAAATTGGCCTTTCAACGAATCCTAGAATCAACAATTCACTTGTTTTGCTTTTCTAGCTCCTACAAAATTCTATATCTAAATAATATTTTTAATCAATTACTTAGTTATTTTCAGGGTATATATATTCTTAAATAAAAGTTCAAAAAAAAAATTAAATTAAATGTGGAAAGCATGTAGCTATAATAACTCCCCAACCAACCATGTGTATATTAACTTTCACCACTTTATCTTCAACCTTATCATCATATAATATATTTTGAAATTTTCTAACAACATATAATTTTATAATTAGACTGAATTTTGATCTAAAAGTATAGTTACCAAATAAAACCTATAGTTACATGATCAGGTCACTAAACAAATTTTAAAATTTTCAACTTGTGGAAGTTGTGATTGTGATTAATTTGATGGTTAGCTCGTTTTCCATCATACAGAAAATTGGTCCAAAAACATTTCAATCATATATTACGTGTTAAACTTCAAAGTAAAACATGTCTAAATACAACCCAAAACCATATTTTTAATTCCCGGAAACGGCTAGATCCAAAGCACATGTAGACATGGCACTTTTCTATTGGTTTTCTATTGGTCCATAGAATAATAAAAAAGGAATTATTGTAGCTGACGAATGACGATACAGATTTTTTAATATCAAGTTTAATATAATGTGAGAATATTGAGACGAATTCAATGGACTCAACACATTTATAAGGCCGAGAGCTTCAACAAACACAAATCACGAGAGAAAAAAAGAAAAAAAAAAGTTCACCTTAAAATTTTGAGTGTTTTTTTTTTGACCCTGAAGTTTCGTTTTGATCAATTTCACCCCTTTCTTTGTTCATCCTCTGTTCTTTCAAAAGTTTCTTGATTACGATAAAAATCCAAACTTTATATCAATGACGGCCATAGATTACACGAGCTTCGGTTTAAACCAACCTAAACCTCTTGGTCTAAACCAGCTCACACCATACCAAATTCATCAGATTCAAAACCAGCTTAACCATAGCCGTAACACAACCTCAAACCTCTCTCCAAACCCAATCCGAATGAAGAACTTCTCACCTTCTTCCTCCAAAACCAAGAATCTCTATAGAGGCGTAAGACAAAGGCACTGGGGAAAATGGGTCGCTGAGATCCGTTTGCCTAAAAACCGGACCCGTCTCTGGCTCGGAACATTCAAAACCGCTGAAGAAGCCGCCTTGGCTTACGACCAAGCTGCTTTTAAGCTCCGTGGAGATATCACGAAGCTTAACTTCCCAAACATCAGACACGAAGACGTTAATCCTCTCCCTTCCTCTGTCGATGCCAAGCTTCAAGCTATTTGCAAGAGTTTGCGAAGAACAGAGGAGGCTTGCTCTGTTTTGGACCAAACAGAGGAGAAGTACTCTGTTTCAGGTAAAACAGAGCATGTTCTGCCAAAAACAGAGCTTTTCTTGCCGAAAACAGAGCATTTGGAGACAAAGCAGTTCTTCGATGAGTCACCGAAAAGCGATGAGAACTCGTCGCAGGCGGGATATTCATCGTCGGATATAACATTGCTAGATTTCTCGGATTCTGAGTTTGAAGAGATTGGGAGTTTCGGGCTTGTGAAGTTTCCTTCGGTGGAGATTGATTGGGATGCAATTAGCAAACTGTCAGATTCTTAAAGTCTTTTTTATTTTATTTTACTTTTCTCTGCAACTGAAAATTTTAACAAGTTGCAGAGGATTTTCTAGGTTTGAATCTGTCCTAGTTTTATTTCTTTGTTGGTCGCTTAGAGTTTTACTATGTAGCTAATCTCCATGTTTGGTTTGGCTTGGTAAGTTTTAAGGTCCTCGCCTTACACAAACCGGAGAAACTTTATGTATCCAAAAGCTACCATTATGTAATATATATGTCATCTTCACTTCTTCTTATTAGACTGAGATCAAAGTTTATAAAATGAAGTCTTGATTTGTTCTTTTAGTTCAAGTAATCGACTAAAGATCTTCTCTTGTTAATTGAGTAAAGATCAAGACATTCTAGATTAGGGTAAAGATCTTCTCTTGTTTACTCTAATTTCCCTGAAACAAGAGAACATCTCTCGACTAGAGCGACCAAATTTGGTTATCTCTTCACATGTATTTTCTTATATTTATGCTAGGATTTTATTTTCTTTTTTTCTCAAATATTTTAGGCTTTGCAAATATTTTTTAGACTGTGATAAAAGTAGGGAAGACATCAGCGTATTCATCATTCCACTAGCCATCTATTTCGTGCCATTGAAACTCTGATCCATAATAGAGTAAGCTTTTGGCGCTACTAAAAGTCTTCTTGGCCCAAAAACCTGATGGTTTCGGGCTCGTGAGCCGGCCCTAAGAATTTCAAGGCTACAAAATCAATATAAGTTAAAAAAGGTTGAGTAATTAGCAAAAAAGTAAAAATTAATGACAATTGCAGGTTAAAGAAATCAATCGCCTAGACATTTTAACGACTAAACTAACTAGATATTTTAGATATTTGGCTGCCTTTTAAATACTTCATACCGGCACTGCGTGAGCATTGATAGATCTTTTCTCTGGTTTTAATACAATTTTTCTACCACTTTCATTTAAAGCTTGTAGGTAGAATTTTTCTCTTCTTTTTCCTTTTTATCAATAAATTTCATGTTAAAAAAGGGTGAAAAAAAAGGGTGAAAAACTACTCTTGACAGGGTTTAATCTTTTGAGTTTTCATGGCGATATCTGATAAATGATGATAAAACAAAAATTACCCGACATTAGATTGAATCTGCTTGTTGATTGGTTTACGTAAATGATCAGACTTCTTTGTTGCCCATCGAAAGAGTAAAAGATTGAAATTAAAAAATATTAGTAATTTATCAGAGCATTTCCATCAAGAAGTTTTCAATATGGGTATCTAACAAAAGAAAATAGTATTTTACTGAATGGGTATCTCAAATAGTAGAGTTGGGCAAAATATATATTAGATCCGCTTCGATGCGTTATTTGTTTCGATTCGATTCGAAAAATCCGGATATCCGTTGTCTTACGAAGTTAATCAAATACTGAAAATTGATATTCGTTAAAAGCAAAGCAAATCACAAATATTACAATTTAAATAGGCGGATATCCCGTTCCGGTATGTATATGTATATAGATAATTATATTTATAAATAATAATTTTACTATTTTTATTTGTAATTTTATAAATTTATGTTCATCAAATTAATTATTAACTTTTAACAATTAATTTTTTTAATAAATATTACTATTTTGGATTAAATTTTGATTTTTTTTATATTTTTTATAATTATTTTTAAATATATACTGAACAGATTAGATATCCTGAAAAATATCCCAGATTTTAATAGATATCCGGCTGTTCAGATATCCTATGACTTACAAAGCATATACGGATTAAAAAAACTAATTATCCGGACGGAGCGGAGCGGATCACGAATACCACCAAAATCCAAAATAGTCTAGAAACTCATTCAAAAGTATCTCATTGAGAAATTCTTAAATAGGTTTTTCATTATTTGACATACTCACTCAATAAAATATTAATATTTTTGTTCTTTTAATATTGAAATACCCAAATTGTGAACCCACCAATAAAAATGCTCTCAATACCTTTCAATAATATATAACGAACCTTATAGTGTCAAATTTTTAGATATCTACTAAAGTAATTAATAAATCGTGCCAAGTTATTGATTAATAAAATAGGTTTAGGCTTAATGCAAGACACCTAGAAAAAGCATAACTCCAACACTAAGCTTACTAGGATTCATGTCCTACACATTAATCACAAAATATCTCCATCACCAACTGTTTCCGTTGGAACCGTTTGAGTGCCTTTGATTTTTCATAAAGCCATGATTACTTCATTTTTGTTGTAATTTATATGGTTGTTGACTAATTATTGTACATACTGATACTAAATTGCGTTTTCTAATGATAGAAATGAACACATTTGTTATATATTTTGCAGAAGCTTGAATGTTATTTGGCAAATTAACCCTGTAATGTTATATGTATGTTGCATGTGTTCTTGATTCATGCATGCATATGATGCTATAAATATGTTTATTTGGAAAATTAACACTATAATTTATTGTTTGTTGTATTTTTGTTTGATCGTGTAGAAAAGTGATTATATCGATTGAAAATTTAGGAACATAAAGTCATTCATTTTAAGGATTAGCGACTTTTGGAGAAAGTGAAGAGTTATCTAAGACACTCTCCTTTTAAGCCATTCATAGATATGCCATTATTGTATGCAGACACTAGCTTCTTTTGTTATTTTTTTTTTCTCAACTTCTTTTGTTATTCAAAAGGAATTTATTTATTTATTTATTTTTGGCAAATTTGCCCAATTTACTACTTTCTTCCTCTTTTTTTTTTTTGAACAGTGGGTGGGGTTTACTACATTTGTTATTAATTTTAAAATTATGAAATTGCTTTTCATGTGAATTCATTCAAAGAGTTAAAAAAAAAAAAACTCGAAAAGAAAACTGTTGTTCCAGCAACAACTTTTTTTAAAAAAATAATAAATAATTGTAAGAGTGTATCATCAAAACTTAACTAAGTAAGAATCAATTTATCTACACTTTGTTAAAAACATTTTGATAATAATCTGCATATATTTCTAGCTGGATGAATAAATTAAGTCATGCAACGTATATATTTTATCCCGTTTTAGAGAAACATTTTCCAATGATTGCCCATGTTATACGTTACTGATTACACTCAAAAAATTTTAAAATGGCAACTTGTAACTTGTACATACTCTCAATATTTTCAAAATATGATCCGATAATATAAGAAAAGTAAACCATATGTTACAAATTGACATTATTAAAATTTTCCCAAGCATTATTGGTTATTACTTATAATATTTGAGAGTAGGGAACTAATGTATATCTTAATATTAATTAAATGCCCCGATCGACTAGTTACGGTTGTAGTAGTTGGATTGTATCTAAAACTATAGATTAATTGTTGTGGTAGAAATTAGTATGTGGGGTTTCAAATGTGGTTTCATATTTTGAGTATGAGAATAATTGTTGCTTGGGATAAAGAAACCAATAATTGATTCCATAAATTTGTCATAACAAAAGGTGTTAAAAAAATTTATCATAACAAACTTGTTAGAATGACTTGAAATGGAGCAGAGCAAACTTGTAAAAATGTCAAATTTTTGTTACATTTAAAACTTTATAATTGTTTTTTCTGATCAAATTAAGAGGTTATGAGCCTAGACCCATAAATTCTCTTAGATATAGGAAATCAAAGCATTAAATATGGTTTCTTTTCGAATGTCACTCGAACGAGCGACATTTAGGCTTTGTCTAAAATACTACACCCGTTAAACTATTGATATTTGGTACCTTTGTCCTTGAAACTATTTCATGACAAAATGGTATTCTTATTTAAATAGATTTTATTAGAGAAAAAATCTAGTAATATTTTAGAGGAAAACTAATAGATCTAACTCGAACACCCGAAGCTCGATCGATCATCTTCTATTTGATTGGGAGTGTCTTCCACATTTAATATATGACAATATATATATACGAAGTTAATATATATTTTTGGACGTAATTAAATCCGAATAATAACACAACGTTGTGTAAGTTTGAATAAGAATAGTAACAATGATAATACTAACACACATATATGGTCTTATAAGAAAACAAAACCTATAGTTAAATATATTGTTGTTTAAATTTTGGTTCCCAATACAATTATTAAAAACATATAAGAAAATAAAAGGGAAAAAATCAAAATACCCCTTTCACAATACCACTTTTCAAAATGTTATGTTGCATATTTTCTATTATACCATTTTCATATACATCAAAAAACACTTTTTAAAAGATATATAATTAAATATGAATTATATATTGGGAAAAATTTTAAAAACAAATACAGTAAAAAGAGCTTTTCTCAAAAATTATCAAAATAAAATCTAAGTTAATAATAAAATACTATAATATTGGTTAGGTTTGGTTTCCGGGCACGTTAATCAAAAACTTATAACAACTTGATGAATTGAATGTTAAATATATTGAAAACAACTTTATTTTTGCTTTTAAATTAATATTTCCAAAATATTAAAGCCATCCAACTTTCCATTTCTCCTTTCTTTCTTTTTGTTTCTTTATCAGCCTATAGGCCTAAAATGATTGAATTCTATTTTATTTAATCTTCTGAAATACATTTTCGTTTAATTTAAAAGAAAAAAATTAAAACATCATATGTTTTTTTCTCATTTCTGAAACTCGTAAATATTTCAAAGCTATATCAACAATATTGTAGCATAATATTTTTAAATTTTGAATGAACTTTAAAATCTACTGCAGTATTATCTTACAAATTATACGGAAAATTATTTTTGTGTTTGGCAGACTTTGCACTATACATACTTGCCTATTTGGTATGAGCTCTGAAGGGGAATGTTCTTTCTTGTGACATTTCTTTATTTTTTTCCGCGACAAAGATTCCCACCATATAAAGGAGCTTGGTATCTCATCAAGTGTCTCTAAAAAGTTATTCTAAATATTTTATTATAAAGATATAAATCTTCGAAGCACAGCATTTCCACTCTATATAATTAAGAAAAAAAATCTAGATAAAAAAATGGGCTCACCTCAAGTTAAATACATAAATCTAAATATGGTATATAAAAGACTCAAATTTATTTATAGAGAATATTAACAACTATTATAATCATAGATATTGAGACTTAAAAGAATAAATTATAAATTATTTTGTAAAATAATATGTGAATATGCTTATAATTTTGTAAATAAAAATATTAATATTTTAAAGAGAAATTAGCTATCTAGCATATTTTAGAAAAACTTAATTCAATACTATTTATAACTTCACAAATTTGTGTTAATGTCATCGTTGTGTCACCGTCAAAATGGGAAAAAACCAATCACTTTAAGAAATTTAACGTACTTGTAAAATTTCACGGTTTATAAAATTAAACATTTTTGACATGTAGACTTCAGTAAATAAAAAATGTTTTGGTGTATGATGACATTTAATCCCTAAAATTAAAAAGTACACCAGGAAATGATGGCAAGGCAGAAACTATCGTGACCGTGGAAAGAATTCACGTGGCCTGATGATTGTTTTGTTTCGATCCCATCTTATGCTGAGAGTTTGGAGATAGGACGATTCCCATTAGCAGAATAGCAGCCTTTTATAATTAAGTTCATGTTCTCAAGGAACAACAGATCCAGAATCAATATCTTCTTCCTGATTTTTAGCAAATAAAAAAGTCGGAATTTTTTAAAAAATTCACTAATTGTTTTTAAAGGAACTGAACTGTCCTGGTAGTTAATGGTGTTTGGTGGTCTTTAGAAAAATATTGATTTTGTATCTAAAGACGACGAGAAGTAAAAATGATAGGATCCTTAAACAAAAAGAACAAAAAAGGGTAAAATGATATTATTCGGTTATATATGTCTCATGCACGACATTTTCCCACATGTTTTTTTTTTTGTTTTTGGTTTTACTTCGAAGTTCTAAGCATTTTATTGGCTATAATTAATAAATTGAGATTTTTTTTTGGTTGCAAACCCTAGTTTATGATAATACCACGATAAGATTTGAATTTTTTTTTATTATTTCGATGAAATGGATAGTACTAGCTCTATGTCTGTGTAGACATCGGTCACGTGGTGGGTGGAGACAATTTTGATTCGTTGCACGTGAAGTGTCGGTTCCAATACCTGGCTTAGGTAAACCTAAGATCGTTTTTTTTTTCTTGCTTCGGAAATTTTTGCTACATTTTATGTCGGTATGAAAATCATCGCATCCCATGTAAAGTACGTAAATGCGACTGCACGATGGTTAAAACAATTCATCGTCTAACAATTGTTTTTTATATTGCCACATGAATATTTCTTTCTTTGTAGTACGTATGATAGTTTTATTAATTAATATGTCAATGTATTGGTCGACTTTAGTATTTGAAACATTACTAATGAGTCTAAGATATATAGGCTTGCCTACTCAAAATTCTCTTTTATTATTGCAACATAAAATTGATGTGCATGCCTGCAAATCAACTCTGAGATATCGTCTGAGTTATCATTTAAAAAACTTACAGAAACTTGTTTTATTATTACTAAACAAGCTAGCAAAACATTTGAGATTAAGTTGTAAATATTTGCATGAGAAAAATTTCATATCCACACATGTAAACATGTGAGATTCCTCCTTTAATTTTCTTCTATTTAACTATAGAACATGGGACATAATTTCCTCAGAAAATATTGTTAGGGGTGGGCTTAGCTCCTTCTTAAAATGTCCGCCCAGTTCGATAAAAGCCGAAGAAGAGCAAAAGATGCGGTCCATTGACGAGCCAAGAAGAGGAGGAGTATTTCTGACATTCGACCTAAGGGGCAAACCGACAAAATACCCTATGAATACCGAATTAGCAAGTTATGTCATGGATCCGCTTTTTCCACTGAGAGAGAGATCGAGAGTAAACATGATCCAGCTGAAAACATAACTTCGCCGAGCCCACTACTCGTCGATCCGCAGCTCGTCCAAAATTACTCTTATCTCGGCTTCGGGCATTTATTAGTAAATTCGACGAGTAACTTCCTTTGTAATCGGTTCATATTTGTCTTAGTTTGGGCTCTTCTATAAGGAAATAGTCTTAAACTTTCATTGAGATCTCGTTTATTACTTGTTAAATTTCGTACATCAACGATTATGTGAAATTTAGTATATCTGATTTCACTGCGAAATAATCGAAGTGACTTGCATCACCAACAAAATCTTTACAATATTAGTTGTGAATCACTGATAATGAAAAAAGAAAATTAGAACAAAAAAAAGTAAACAAACATTAAAAGAAACTAATGTCAACATCACTCATCAAATAAAATAAAAAAATCACTCATCAAATATGTGGATAAAAATATCTGAAGAGTCAGGAGGATCTCATCACGAACTCAAGACTAATCAGATCCGTTTACCTCAAATCTCAATTAATCATCTTTATTTTTTCCTTACATCTCCACTGAGAACACACAAAAACTATTAGGGCATATGCAACGCAATAACTTTTGTAATGATCTTAGAATTAAAATATTAGGAAATAAGTAAATACTAGAAGAACAGGTGAGTAAAAGTTCTTGCCCAAGAACTGTTCTTCCTCAAGTCTTAGTGCCACTTAAACTTTTTTGGTTTGTTTTAGTGTAGTATCTCTCTGCATTTAATTCATAGCTTTTATTTTAATAATAAAACCATTTTTAAGATCTATCTAAGGTGATATACCTTTAAAGATGGTCTGAGAATTTGCTAAACTGTTTTGTTTTTGGACTAACTAATGTGCTAGACGTTGACTGGACAGTAGATAGTTGTTAACTACTTAGCCATGTGGCGCTTAATAAACTGCAACAGCTAGCAGTGACACACTGAAACCTAATAAGAACAAAACGTGTTCGATTTTAGTTTGGCGATATTTTTGTCTCATTATAAAATTGCATGTTACAAATAATATAATAATAAAATTAGATGTTATAGACTTATAGTGATTATTTGAAAAAACTAATATATATGTGGTAAAATGGTTGATCCGTGTATATATCCCAAGTCTTAATATCTTATATATAGTATTAAAATGGTTCAAGTAAAAATGTAAAAAGAAAGAAGCAAAGCATGGGAATGTACGAGTTGTTGGGAAAAAAAAAAGAGGTGTTAGGAAAAATACACTTAACATGTTTCAAACTCTCATTACCATGTGACAAAGATAGATCGATGAAATATAAGAGCATTATACAAGATTTATATCTTAAAAACATGGCTTCTGAAATTTAATGATATTAATTAATTAGGAGGGACTTAAAGCTTGTGCAGTTGTGCTTTGCATCTTTCTTGTCCAAGAATATAATCAGGATTGATTATTCATAAAAATGTTCATTGTGAGCATAGTAAAGATCATAACACAAGTTTATATAGATCTAAAGATGGTATAAGTAAAGGTATTTATTTAATTCACCATCTCATGTGTTCCATGCATGATGCATTGCATATAGTTAAAATCCATTAATGCATCGTTTCGTAGACAATAGATCATTGGCCCTTAAGTTCTTCTCTTGAGCAGTAAAGTTCGACTTCACTTTCTTCCAAGAGGTTATAATATGGACCAGTGGCGTTCCCTTCACCGGATTGAAGTTTAGCTAGCCTAGGAGGGTTCATTGGTGGATATTATCAGAGAGGAGGGTTCGATGTCGAGTTCTCTCGCCTTGCTAGGTCGGGGAGGCGAGAGATCGGGTCTCGGAGGTCGCTCTAATCTATTCCGGGAGAAAAGCTCCGGGTAACGGCGGGATGTGGCTTCAGCGTGCGGCGGGAACTGCTAACTCCGGTCAAGGGCTCGAGGTCGTCTTCCTCGATACAATGGAGTAGGTCTTGTTAGCAACGGGGATGGTAGATTAGATTAGCGTTTCCGGTGTACCGCCCGTTTTCAGATCTCTTTTCCGATAATGTTCCGATTTGGGCTTTCCTTTTTGTACCTGTATCTACCTTTTGGCCCAATGGCCCATAAGCCCTTTTGGGATGAATAAAAAGTTACTATTTAAAAAAAAAAAAAAAAAAAAAAAAAAAAAAAAAAAAAATAAAAAGGACCAGTGGACCAAACAAGAAAACAAACAAACAAAATTAAAAAAACTTATTTGATTAATTTCAAAAACAAATATCTAAATATTCTTGTGTCAGCATTATCAAATTGGAAGGGACCACGTGGCGCTTGATGGCAACGCTCCAACGCCAAAGAACCAAAAGATATCCAACGCAAGCCAACAAGGAAGTATAGTGGAACTCGCACTCAATGGTTTCGACTCGGACACACACAATATCTGATTTTACTTTGTTTTAATTTTCTTTTCTTTTTCTATTTTAAAAAAGCAATTCTTGCTACTATAAAATCAGTCCATACCCTTAGTTAACAACACACATTCAGTCTCATTTCCATCAAAATTATAACTTCATTTCAAGTTTTGATTTATATCCTAAAATGGGTAATTTTTTTGTTTCTTGCAATGGTCACTTACTTATCTTAAACACACAAAATTATGTACATGTTACTGATCTGTTATCTTCTCTGTTTCAATCTTATATTCTTAGTTAGATTCATCGAAGAGAATATTACTAAAATGTTGGAGACAAAGGTCATCTCAAACTCGGAGGTTTTATATGTCGGAAGAGACGACGGAGACACGTCACCGTCGACGAAAGTTCTTCATGATTTTCAGATCAACGGCGGAGGAGGAGGACTAATAAGATCATGGGTTGATTCCATGAGAGCTTGTTCTCCTACTCGTCCTAAATCCTTCAATAGCCAATCTTGTTGGATTGTAATGTCTTCTTGCTTCCTCTGTTTTGTTTTATCTTCTTTTTCATTTCTTTTTTTTTTAATTATTGAACGAGAGAATTACAAATTTGCAGAAGGAACATCCATCAGCTTTGAACATGTTCGAAGAAATACTTCATAAATCTAAAGGAAAACAAATAGTTATGTTTCTTGATTATGATGGTACTCTCTCTCCCATTGTTGATGATCCTGATCGAGCTTTCATGTCCAAGAAGGTAGTTTTTTCCCCAGAATTTAATTTGAACATATATAGTATAAATCTTATAGATGTTTTAGGTCAGCCTTGGTAGATAATCATGTTGTGTTTTTTTTTTTTTGTTAGAATTTTACCATATTGCGAGAGTTAATTAAGTCAATGGTTATGATTTTTATTTTTGTCATTTTGTAATATACACCTAGTTGCCAACTTAAGGTGTTATTTATATTGTTATATCGAAAATATCATCAACTTTGGTGTTTAAAAAATAAATCTAAATGAATTTATCTAGCTATAAAAATAAATGTTGATGGTCATTTAGTGCAATTAGCCTTTGCTAAATATTCTTTGTGATTGAATAATTTTTCAGATGCGAAATACTGTAAGGAAACTTGCAAAGTGTTTTCCAACAGCCATAGTTAGTGGGAGATGCAGGGAGAAGGTACAATAATTTTTTAAATTTCATTTTAATTATTAAATAAAAGTACAATTTCGTGTAATTATTATTATTAAACAAAAGTAAAATTTCATTTATTTATTTTTTTGAAAAAGGCTTTCTAACACACACATACAATTTCATTTTGATACATATATGTTTCAGGTTTCTAGTTTTGTGAAATTAACTGAGCTATACTACGCTGGAAGTCATGGCATGGACATCAAAGGACCAGAGCAAGGACCTAAATACAAGAAAGTATGAAACACATATTATAGTTGCGAAAAAAAAACACAACCTATGTATATAAAACTTTTTTTCCACCTCTATTTTTTCTCATTTCTTAAAATAAATTCAGGAAAATCAGTCTCTTCTTTGTCAACCAGCGACTGAGTTCCTCCCGGTGATCAACGAGGTCTCATTCTACTTCAATCAATCATAATGTTTTATTCTATTAAATATATCAAATATAGCTATATTACGATGATATAAATATAGCTATACTTATTAATTATTTTCTTTTCCTTCTGTTTTAGGTTTATAAAAAACTACTCGAGAAAACCAAATCGATTCCAGGAGCCAAAGTTGAGAACAACAAATTTTGTGCGTCTGTTCACTTTCGATGCGTAGAAGAAAATGTATGGATCATTTGCTTATATTAGATTGATCGTGTAGTAAATTACATAATTTAAACATAACCAAGAAACTAATATTCAGAAATGGAGTGACTTGGCCCATCAAGTTCGATCAGTCTTGAAGAACTACCCCAAACTCATGCTTACCCAAGGAAGAAAAGTAAAATTCTTATAGAAAAAATAATAATTTTAATTAAGTAGTTAATACCTCAAATAAGATTTGTTTTTCATCATGATTATTTACTTTTTTGGTCTGATTTAATTTCAGGTGTTGGAGATTCGTCCAATCATTAAGTGGGATAAAGGCAAAGCACTCGAGTTTTTGTTAGAATCACTCGGTAAAACTTTGTTCATGTCTAATTATTAATTTATTGATCATAAAAATTATCATATAATGGCGGAGTACTACATGATATTACTTGTGGTTTAAAAGTTAAAACTTCTAATTAATTTTCACTAATCGAAATTAACATTTACCATGTGTAGGATATAATAATTGTACTGATGTTTTTCCTATATATATTGGAGATGATCGTACCGACGAAGATGCCTTTAAGGTATACACATATTCTATATTCATAATGTCTCGTTAAATCAACATAGATAAATAGTATAGATTAATGATTTATATAAATACTGATTAAAGTGACATTGTAACAGATATTGAGAGATAAAAAACAAGGTCTTGGAATTCTTGTGTCCAAATACGCAAAGGAGACTAATGCTTCTTATTCTTTGCAAGAACCAGATGAGGCAAGCCTTCTCACTCTACAAAACATAACACAATGTTTTGGTGTGATGTGCGGATTTATTATTAATGTTTCTTATTTTTTTGGTTTAATAGGTTATGGATTTTTTAGAACGTTTGGTGGACTGGAAACAATTAAGATGTGGGGCATGAAGAGTTTACAAGTACAGGAGAATCTTTTTCTTTTTCTTTTTACTATGTATTATATCTTAAGATTCTAACGTATAAGAGAACGAGAATTATTTTGTTAAATATAACAAAAAGACAAATATTTGAGGTTCTTGTTCTTTTTTTTTTTTTTCAACTTTGGTTTTGTGACCAGTCCTTTGTTGCTATTCATGCAAATATTCTAGTTTTGAATATATGTCATATCTATAATTCCTTCTATTTTTGAAAATAGAATTAAAGATATACAAATAATAAACTTTTATAACCTTTGTCAAAAAATTGCAACCCCATATGCCTAATAGCAACATTATTGGACTAAGATATTCTCAGTTTGTCCCGAGAATCGAGATGCATATTTGAGAACAAATATATAATTTACATCTTCTATATATCATTTGGGAAGTGTATAATAAACCATATATATTTTTGTTACTTTACATATCATGAACAAAAAAAAATCCTGGAATTCCGAATACTCAAATTCAAACTGAAACGAAACTTTTTAACTATAAAATAATATCTTTAGTTTTCTTTGATACTCCAAAATTTTTAAAATATTTATTCTCGTGTATGACACGGAACATTATCTAGTTTTACGTATTAACATGGAGACATCTAGACATCTAGACTATACTTGTATAGTTGTGTAGTCGGATGTTTTTATTTATAAACTAGATTATAATCCGCGGTACACCGCGGGACTATAATTTTTTTTAAAAATAAAAATTTAATTTGTTTAGTAGATTAAAAATATATATGATTTAATGTTTTGTATTTTTTAAATGTACAATTCTTATATCTATATATTTTTAGTGTACAATTACTATGTTTAATTTTTACTGTTTAAAAATATAGAAACAATAACATACAATTCATTAAGTTAAAATCTTGATTATAACTATATAATTTAAATTTTAATTATATTTATTTTTATTTAAATTGTTTGTTTTGTTTAGTGTTTAAGATAGTATAATTGTATTTTGATTGTTATATCTAAGATTTCACCCGTAGTATACAGTCTCGTATTACTATCGACCCAAACCTGTCCTACCATCTAATACCGTTCAGTAAAATTAAACATATATAATGGATTTCACCCGTGGTATACCATCTCGTATTACTATCGACCCAAACCCGTCCTACCATCTAACCCCGTTCAGTGAAATTAAACATTATTTTATTATTTTTGTTTTAATAATTGTTTAATTTAAAAGATTTATAATTCATATCAATTTAAAAAATTTCTTTCAAATGGTTATTTAATTATTGTAAATTTCATATATTATAATATTATAAATCCGTCATACCATCTAATCATGTTCGGTGAAATTAAACATTATTTTTTGTTTGAATAATACTTTTATTAAAACATTTATAATTCAAATCAATTTAAAGTTTTCTTTCGAATAATTATTTAATTTTTATAGATTTCACATATTATATATATTCTAAACATTTTTTCCGTTAAATATTCTAAACGTTTAATAAACTTTAAATAACTATAATATTTATCTTTCAATAAAGTATAATATTAATAATGTCCTAAGATTTCTCTTTTTCTTAAGTAATTAGAATTGATGGAAATATATTAGATAAAGAAATGCTAGTAATTAAGAATCTTAATTAATTGATAATAATTAATGCCAATGACATTCTTTGTAAATAAGTTGTAACTTGAAGATTTATTTGCTAAAAGTGTTGTAAAAATGTATATATATAGATGTGTAGTCGGATGTAGAGATCAAACATAAAATATTACGACGTATATAGGAACCTATGTTTTGCATTTAGATAGGTCAATAATCATTAAATTAGAAGGTGTTTGTGGGTCATGTGGCTCGGTAAATTACTATATTAATGATTTTCTAAAGTGTAGAGGATTTTGCGGGACGAATTGGTAAAACTAAAAAGTAAAAACTATGCACTTTATCAAAAAGAAGAAGCTGAAACTATGCAACCAAATTCTAAGTTCAAATCTCGGCATGCCCCCAACGTTTCATACTTATTATAGAGTTATTTTCTATTTAGTCGCTTCTAGTATTTTTAATTATTAACTCTTTTATTTTTCTAATTAGGTTGGTTTGCAATTCTGCCTCTTCTAATTCGATTTCACGAAATTTTTTGATAGTCTATTTGATGTAAGAGTTCAACCAAGTTGTTGAAACTATCGTTATTGATCAACAAATTTGGTCCAAAATTAATTAGATGGTAAGAAGATTTCAACATTTGGCATGCATTAATTACTCTATGAGATCGAAATATAGAATAATACAAACAACATGACATATGGTGGGGGATTTTTTTTTTTAATAATCTTATTTTGGACAGTTAACTCACATGAAATATTAAAACATTTTTTTAGGTTTCATTAGTGGAGAAGTTAAGATCCTAATCATATCTTCCAATGGATATACAAATGTTGAAATCCACGGCCAAATTTGGACGTGGAGCCCGTAAATGAAAGCAGCTAGGGTGCTAAATAAATCTCACATATGAGATATGGTCTAAATTCATTGTTAATAAAATTATCAATAATAAATATAGTATATTGATTAAATGGATTTTTTTGGTAATCGAGGATTGTTAGATTGATCATACATGACAAAGTTAAAGAATTTGTGTAAATTTAAACACATTATATATGTCAGCCAAATGCAAACGTTTGGAGATAGACCTAAGTTGTTTCAAACATGTAATTGTGATTTTATGAGATAACTACGTTGATGGAATATAAACTCCATGACGATAATTACGAATAATAAATTAGTTGAAATATTTTAAATCTGAATATGGTGGATTATTAAAAAAAATGTATATGTAGTACAATGATGTGACTCTAATGTAATCAAATTAATCCTCCATTGACTGGACCAATGTTTGGTGGTGCTATACTTGATTAGACATAGAGGTATCAAACGGACCGGCACATGTCTATTAGAGCCGGTCCACGACTGGCAGATTTTTCGGGACTGCAACATACCGTTTCAATAGATTCACAAACAAAAAATGTTAAGTCCAATCCTGACTGTTAAAACCTATGAATTGGTGGACAACTCCGCAGACTTAAATTTTATATTTTTAAGATAATTAAAACAAAATTTCTTATTATAAGTTTTGATAATCTTAAATTATAAATTTATAGATCAAGGAGGATTTGACGTGACTGTTACTAAAAACGTAAAGATTTAGGAGGTCACATGTTCGATACATATGGAAAGAATGTGTTTTTTTCAAACGAGAATTAAATTACATGGTCTGAAATTTATTTTACCATTAAAATATATATATATATATATATATATATATATATATATATGTAGTAAAAGTTTATAAGTTTTATAGTCCATAGTTAACATTTAAAAATAATTCTGGACAAAGTCTATATAATTTTCGTGAGAAAATATAAGAGTTAAGTTATTGAGTTATCTACAAATCAGTTGTGCAAAGAAAAAAATATTATCCACAGATCATATGTTAATACGTATATGTAAGAAATTATTTCCTATCGGATCGGATCAGCCGATAGGGTTTATAAAAAAAAAAAGAAATTATTTCCTCATTTAAACCTTAGAAATTTATTTTATTTCATTAAAAATGTTGTTTTCTATTTGTAATGTTTATTGTTAAAATTTTAAATCTTGTAAATGATTTTTTTACGAAAAAACATACATATGGAAGCGTGATTTCAAACGAGAGTTGGTATAACATACTTTTGGAAATAACTTAAAACCATAGTTGACAAAAAACACCTAAAACTATATTTAATTTAGAATAAAATGTATGCACTCAGTAAATGTGTGTATGTGTTGGTCTGTGAGATGTTTCAAACTGCTTGGTAACATGTGGATGCATGTGACTCAGATGCCCAAATTATAGGGAGCAAAACATTGATCACCAATCCCTTTACTTGAATAATCATCTTCTCTGACATGTCTAAAAGGGGGATTATATTAAAAAGAAAAAAATTCTTTTTGCAAACTCTATATGTCTTTTGAGTGGATGGTCAATTTTATCTAACATCAAAATAAAACAAAATTTGAAGTAGCAAAAAAGGAAATCTCTTTTGTATAGGAACTTTTTAATGTAGTGGTGTGAAGTAAAGTAGAGAAAACACAAAGAAGAGAGGCATAGGCATGCGTTCCAACCAACCTACCATGTGGAATTATTTGATGAAAAAGAAACGTTTGTATTTTTCTTTTCTTACTTGCATAATTGGGTTTAGGGTTTTATAAGCTAATATATATATATAACCATACACATCCGTAACAATCAGGGTTAAACGAAAAGGTACCGTTCTTGTAACGTTCCGACCGCCATTTTCAATTGGGCCCACGTCCTTTCTCGGCCCGTGGGCTTACTATCTTCCGACAGCCGGTTCGCTACGTCCGAGAGGCTTTAAAAATTTGTTTACCGACCCTACAAATCACCACATGATCTTTTCCTGTGTTTTGTCCTCACTCACACAGTTCCGACAATTACTTTCCGGAAGGTCATCCATCCTGAAATTGCTCCAACTCAAGCACCCTTAACTGTGGAGTTTTCTCAGGACATTTGACTAAAAAGATAAGTGCACTTTGGTAACATAGGTGGCCAAATCAATTATTTTAAACCTCTCCGCATGCACCAACATATTCCTAAAACCAGGGTGTTACAGTTCTATTTACCTATCGATTGATTGATCAAAGAATAATACAAGGATCTATGTCATTGAAGACCTTGTGCGAGATACGATAATAAGTACATTTCTGTACATGTATCCGCGTTATTTCCGTTTGTTGTGAATACCTTTTCGATTGTAATTTTTGATATCCTAATTCCTAAATATGTTTAATGGTTTATATACGTTTTTGTCCAAATTCCAAACTTTACCTGATATGAGGAGTTCATTGTACAATCAAGACAAAACTGTTAAATTTGTCTTTTATATTCTTGCTAAAAGATAATTCAAAATAGGTAACAATAATGTTGTCATAATTAGGAATGTGAAAATGGTCCAAAGGTGCCCTAAATAAATAATTGGACCTCTTTGTTTCACTTTCTAGTGGAATATCTTTATACACAATTATTGTTTCTCCACTTTGGTTTTGCGAAAATGACTACTCAACCTTTTCTTGGTAGATGGTAGTGGCTAGATTAAATGATTCTTCATGTATTTTCGATTATTTAAAATAAAATTTAAGTATATTTAAAATAACCCTAGCGCATGAAGAACACTGCATTTTGAAACCTGCGGTTAAATATAAAAATATTTTGTATTAACTTCCATAATTTGTATTTTTGTATTATACGTTCCACTTTATTATTATTATTATATTAATTTTTTTGGGTAAAATGTTAAGTTTTATACGTTCCACTTATTGAACCATAAGATAATAGATCTATAGTCAGGCCATATCCTCGCAAGGCTTCAAGATACAGTTTGATCACATGTCTGGTAGTTTGATAGCCTCTTATCGGGTAGTTGCATTCGCGATTGGAGTCACATTCAGACGTATATACTCTGTGGCGAACTAGACGGAGCCAAAGATCTTAAGATCATATATTTTCATGTATCCTTTCTCCTTCAAAGCGTGGCCTTAAGTTGGTGGTCCTCTCCCAATAGAAATGTAGAGGCAGCATTTAATTTTCCAACCTGTAAGCAACATTTTTATAATTAAAACTAACAACACTAAGAAATGAGAATGATCCCATCAAGTTTTTGGAATATTGATACTTGTACACACTTGGTATAGGAAAAATCTTATGAGTTGAACTTTTACTTTCACATTCAGGCCCAATTATGATCGGCCCAAGTAAAGGAAAAGAAGTTCAACCTTCTTTTTTTATGAGTTCTGAATATGAGAAACAGTTTTGATTTACCATCTAGGCTAAACTAAATTTATTTGTAATCTCCAAAGCAAAGGTACATTCAAAAAGAAAAAGAAAAAATGATGCTCTGTCTATTGTGTTCTTCTTGTTCACGTTTTCTTTTGTCGCTCAACAATATAGAGTAAAAACAAAGACTTTAGGAAAAAAAAATGAACAATTGAACATTACATAGAAAGTATGAATTAATTAAGCACATTGTAACTCTAACGACACAATCATGTTATATATAAAATATATATAGAGCGAGTGTCAGTTCTTGAACTCACTCTCACAATTCTCCGACACAATCTCAACCTTCTTCGCATCTAACAGTCCCTTAACCTTAACATCACAAGTCACCACCACTTCCTTGTTCCGTTTGACCGGCCCTGCTTCATACTCAGCATCCAGCTCCATCTTCAGCATCATAACCAACGGTAGCTTCGAGCCACGAGGTTGTACAACTGCGTTCTTGGTCGACCCATTAAGCTTCACATTGACCTTGTCGGATCCAGATGCGGCCTGGGACAACCCCGGAAATGTCCCGCGTCCCAGGCTCTTATTCTTGTACGTTAAGGAAACGACCCCGTTCTTTTTCATCATGTAGTGTACCCCCATGTTAGACGTTGGATTCTCAGCTCTCAACGTGACCTCGAAATTACTAGGTTTTACGGTTAATCTCTCGACCGCGAAAACAGGAAGAGTGGGGTTGAAAGCGAAATGGAGGATGAGAATGATTGCACCGAGTATGAATCCGAAAATGACCAAGATAATGAAGAACCACAAAAGACGTTTAGAACACCCTTTCTTTTTGTTTTTCTCCGGGTTCTTGCGGCGTTTCTCGACGTATTTTGCATGTTCCGGAGGAGGGGTCCAATAGACTTGATCTCTCGGGACTTGGACAACGTACGTCTCTAACTCAGGGATTGAATCCGGTGGAGGAAGAGATGGAGAAGATGTCGTTGCGAGTGGAGAGAGATTAAGGGAATGATTACGCCAATGGTGTGATGGAGGATCTAGAGATGGTAATGCGGGGAGGCTGGAGGTTGGACGGTGCCAAACGGAGGGAGGATCATCGGGTTTGTCATCGTCAGATTCAGGGGCGGTGGCGGAAGGAGGACGCCGTGGCCCCTCCATCGGAGAAAGGTGGGAGTTACGAGATGTGTGGTGGAGATTGGTCGAGAGAGAAGACGAAAGAGAGAGAATTAAGAGAGGATGCGAAAATTAGGGTTTGCATGGGAAAAGTAAGTGGTTGTTGTTGCATGACTCAAACTTTTGGTTGGTTTGGAGAAGATTTTGCTATTTAGAGTTAGCCAACTCACCTTAAATTTCCCTTTTCTGTTATTTAGAAAACTACATTACAGTACTCATATAATATAGTCCTATCAATGATCGACGAAGTCGTTACTCTTTGTTTACCTGATATCGATTTTCTAACAAAAATTATATATGCATATAAAACACACATGAGTAAAATCTTAGAAAAGTTAGCACATATTTATATAAAACATATTTGAATGTTTTCTGTCTTTAAATTCCTTATAAAAATTTCGGTGCCAACAAATATCACCTTTTTGGAACGGAAATGTATTCCTCCACATTTCTTGATATTTTAGCTGGACCAAAATTTTCACTAGAAATTTTCTTACGTCAATTCTCTTGCAACTTCTATTTCTTTAGAAAGAGAAGTTCAAAAAATGTGTATATATATATATATATATATATATATGTATATGAATATACGTTGGGATGGATATGAATGGAATGTATGTATTTAAACACATATTTATCTGCAGCAACCGGCCGGCCATTCAAAATTATGTTTGTGGGCCTTGTGTTTTTTCAAAGAAATAAATGAAATAATTTTTTTTCTTTGAAAAAAACACAATCACTTAATTTTTATTTATAAATAAACAGATGTACATGAAAATATCAAGGAAAATAAATCTTATCTTCATGATATGGTCTAGTTCTACAATTTTATACAATCGAAAGTTTTCTTACAAAAGCAAAAACAAATATTAACGTTCTCAAATTCTTGCCCGGTCCCCATCCACGTGAACCATGTTGTATTGGGAGCATTACATTATATGTATCAGTATAAAAAATTGGAAACTATATTTGGTGAAAAGTGAAGTGCATTTGAATCTCACAAAAATGGCGTTTGTGACGAAAACAAATACAAAAAATTTAGAAATCTGACAACACATGCCGACCTGTCCGCCGAGTTAACGACGTGCTTATAGGATCCTTAATTATTCTTATTTCATTTCCAACGGACCAAAAATCACCACGTCATCTTCATACGCAAATCCCAAAAACACACGATCATTAACTCATTGAAATCTAAAGTCTCATACACTTTCAACATTTCTATTAATATTTCCATAGACTAGATCTCTCTTTCTTACATCCATATCACTGATGATGCCTCGCCGTGACGTTCTCTTCCTCTCCCTCCTCCTCGTCATCGCTACCATCTCCGCCGTCGCATTCGCCGTAAGTTTTCCAAATCTCATTAACCAGATTTGAATATGTATAATGACACAACATCAATGACATTAGTTTAAACTATTGGACTACAAATGTTTCTTTCAATTATGAAAAATTCACTTTCTTGATTTTCTTGATTTAACAGGACGATGAAGCAGATTGTGTCTACACATTCTACCTTAGAACCGGATCAATCTTCAAAGCCGGTACAGATTCGATCATAAGCGCTAGAGTTTACGACAAATACGGAGACTACATCGGGATCCGAAACCTAGAAGCATGGGGTGGTTTAATGGGACCAGGTTACAACTACTACGAGAGGGGTAATCTCGACATTTTCAGTGGGAAAGCACCGTGCCTTCCGAGCCCAGTCTGTTCATTGAATCTGACCTCTGACGGCTCCGGTGACCACCACGGTTGGTATGTTAACTACGTGGAAGTCACGACAGCCGGAGTTCATGCAAAGTGCTCGTACCAAAGCTTCAATGTTGAGCAATGGCTTGCGTCCGATACATCCCCGTATGAGCTCAGTGCTGTTCGGAATAACTGTCCGGTTTCGCTTAGGGAAAGTGTCGGTCGGGTCGGGTCTGAGATCCGGAAGACTCTCTCTTGGATCGTGTGAGATTAGTGAATGAAATGTGTGTGTGTAACTTGGAGACTTGTTCTTTGTTGTTTTGTGAACGTGTGATGGCAATAATGAAAATGATTCGATCGAATAAAGATTCTGTTCTTTGTTGTCTGTGAGATTTGATCAAACATTATTAAGTTTCTCTTGTGATGAATTAAAAGATAATTAGTTAATTACTGGTTGAAATAGGTTTTTTTGATTTTTTTAGCAAATGGTTGATATAGTTTTTTTTGTTTCATATTCTTCAGAAATAAACGTTCAAAGCTAAAAATTTATGATTAATCAAATCTTTACCAAATATAAAAGGTGGGACCTTTTCACATTTTTTCTGGTACTTATAAACATTTAATACAGATTGGTGGATCTTGACATGGCTGTTTCTGTTGGATCTCATAAACGAATACTACATATATTGGTTCATGGGTTACTCTGTTTCGGTAATTCCAATGACTGGTCTTCAAGATATCAACAAAAGAAAAGGAAATTATAATCATTTTTGTGTTTTGATTAAAAAGTCAACGATAAACTTACAATTTTTTTTTTTTTGAAACTTACAATTTTGTAAGAAACAGGTCTACACCTCCTAATTAAGTGACACTGGCTGTAATGGAGCATTTCTTTGGCTCATAACTAAAATAACCGAAAATCATTGTCAAACGAATGACTTATTGAAATAACGTTTTTAATATTACTCCTAAGGCACCCTATGAATCTCTCTATGCACATGACATAATAATCTTTGGAATCTATAAAACAAGTTAATTACTTAATGAAGAAGATCGTTCCTGCCCACATAATCTATAGAACCACAAAGCAATATACAAGTTAGACATAAAATAAATAGACAATATGCTTTTAAAAGATAATTACTGGTTGTAAATGGTCAGAATATCATGTCTAATAGTTGCCCTCTTAATCCTTTGCTGTCTAATATTCATCCCCCTATGACTTGTTTTTTTTTTCTTAGAAGACGCAGAGCCGGCCAAGAGTACAAGCCAGCAAAGCTGGTGCTTGCGGCCGCCTTATATTTATATACTAAATCGGCCCTATTTTCGCGTGAATGTCCCTTAGTTCAGCTGGAAACATACTAGCAACTCTACAGTCTGATCTCTGGTTCGATTCCCAGCAGATGAGAAATTTTTTTTTTTTTTCAAAGGGAAAATCAGCCCAATTTTTTTTTTTTTGCTTGTAGGCACCAAAACTTCAGGGACGGCTCTGAGAAGACGTAACTGTGTAACAAAGATAGAATTTATGATTCTCATATAAATTTGAAAAAAGTAAAAAACAGATTAAAATCATTTTGTCAATCATATTAATTGACAGAAAAAATGTCATATAAACTATAATGATAAAATGATAAAGTAATGAAATTAGTGTGATAAAGTATATCTCTTAAAACTCTATATTGTTTTTCAAACAGATTAAATTATACTTGTCAAAATTATATTATTCTGCATTATATAAATATTTTAAAAAATAGTTTTTACATCATGAAATCAAAAAGTTCGAAATTGAAATATTATGATAATCTTAATTAGTCGATTTTAATGGGTAAAAAACACATTATAAGTTTCCGTAGTTTGTTGTATTTTCAATTTAATAAATTTTAAAATGGTAACATAAATATAAAAACATTCTAGTAAATATGTTATAATTACTTAAATAACTTAAATAATCAAGAAAAAACAAATTGATCAAAAATTTGCAAAGATTAAGAAAAATATGAGCAAAACATAAGTATGATATTTAAAAAAAAAAAAAACTGGCAAAAAATCACAGATTCAAACTTGAGATGCTAAACAAATAGAAACAAAGATATATATGATCATAATTTTGTGTTTTTGGCGGCTCCCGATAAGTTACTATATGAAGCTGATAATTAATTTGATAATAAATTACCATATTTAGCTGATAATTCATTATTCTTCTCCGAAAACTTTTGTTTTAAATGAACCTTTTTGATTCATTAGTATTCATACAATTTTATCCCCATTATATAGTCTAGAGAGGGATTGCTGATTCCGAAGGCCGCTGCGGAATTGCGATGTTGCCGCCTCTGTACCCGCTCAAGTCAAGTCCCCCGTCCGCTAATCCTAAATGAATGTTGTAATTAAAATCAAATGAATGCTATGATTTAAATATCTCTGATATCACTATTTAATATATTTATTGCCAATAAAGGAATGTTATGACTTATGATTAAACAAATTACTACTTTAATGGGGTTTGTGAGATCAATTGAACACGGACAATGATTATACGCTCTTCCAACGTTATTTGAAGTTTAAAAATCAAAAAGACAAGAAGAAGAGTAGAATGTATTCACACATTATACAATTATAATTACAGAGAGACAAGCAGAGATGCCAAAGGCTAAAGATCGAATGCACGGATTTAACAATATCATAAGAGAAAATAGGATGAAGGAAATAAAAGCATTGTGGAGGAGGCAACTTTGGAGGCTCGTCGGAATCGGAGCTGACGTCAGTATGGAAATATAAAGGTATTGAAGTGACCATTAGCAACCCAGGAGTAGAAATCAACTGACAGAGATTTAAACGGAGTTAAACTCATGAAGTTATATTAGTTGCTTTCGGTCCAAGTAACTACAGAATCTGACCAAAACCAGAAACCCTAAGAGGCAGTTCCGAGATGGCATATTCAAGGCAACATTCTGAGGTTGAAACGGGTCCGATCTGGATGAAACTTCGTGGAGGTTTTCATGGTACTACATGCTCAATATGCAACGGTGGGATTGTTATTCCAACGGTTAGTTTTTGTTTTATTCTTGTGTTTCCGTGACAATTCGTTATAGAGTAACTTGTGATCAGTTCTATTGTTTGGAAACTTGCTGTATGTTTCTTTATGTAAGACAATCTTAGAAGAAGCTAAGGAAATGTGAACATTGTGAAAGATTGTTCTATGGAACTGATATACTTTTCTCTCGCGAATTGGATCTTGGTAGTTCATCAAATTCTGCATCATGGTATATCTTTTCTCTGTCTCCTCTTCCAAGGGATGTCTTGTTTAACTTGTACGCATCTCGTGGCGTTATGGATTTCTAATTAAAATTATTTAGGGGTGATTAAAGGATGATAAGTTGGAACATTGAGCAGCTATCAGAATAGCGTAATTGAAAGTTATAAGCAAGGGAAACAGAACGAAACAGAACATTACAAAAAAAACAGAGCCTTAGCCTGGTCCAAAGCAGAGCATTAAAGAGTGCCAAACTTGAGGAGTAGACCGTCTCCAAGTTTGGTCGATAGGTAGTTCTCCATGCCTTCTTCGGTTTCGTTCACTACAAGTACTGTGAATTGACACTTGAAAATAAGGAGCGTATTGATTAATTAGTTATGATTTCAAATGAGTTTCTCATATTTACCAACTTCTGAAATAAGAATATGATTCAACATTACTCGGCTATTTGTACGCTCTTATGATGGTTGTACCCTTGGCAGTTTATGGTTTACTACTGCTAGCTTATTCATGTGACAATTCCTGATAATTAACTTGATCCAAATACCTTATTCCTATAGTAATAGCTACATGAGAAAACCATTTAGATTCAATAAAAATTGGAGTACTCTGACTTTTTTCGGAGAAGTTGATCAAACCGTCTCTCATATATGAAATATGGTAAATCAGATTTTTCATGCCCTCACAATTGCATTATGTTAAATTCATATATATATATATGAACTATACCATTTTGTTAGAACATACTTCGAGTAATTTCTAGTAAGTTATGATTTTTATGATTTTGTTATCATTCTGGGATTTATATAATCTTTTTTTTGAAATAAATGTTAATCCAAAAATCTAGCAAATAATCATAATTATCAATTTAAATTGGAGATGTGTCATGTCATTTTTTGAGTTACCCATGTCACATATTTTAATAATCGCTTAAAATTGAATTCACAAATAATGTATTTTGGTACAATTGGTTAAGGAAACTGTGAGAGCCAACATTGCTTAATTGATGAGTTTAAAATAGTTAAGAACCAGGGGATTATCACGCCAGGGCGGCTGGTATACCTCCGCCTCGTAGGTCTTGATATCTCCGTCGTCTCCTTCACTGACATCAATAATTAACCGAAAAATAATGCCACATACCACCTGAGATTCGCCGGAAACAACAGTTTGTAACTTGAGTGCCGAGTTGTTCTCTTTGTTGTTCCTTGTGATGGCGAACTTGGCGATGTCATCAACAGAAGGATCATCTATGTCTTTAATGGGAAACCAACCACCTTCCATCTCTTCTTTTCTTTATCACTATATATACAAAGGATTCAAGTAAATCAGACGGTTTTAACAAAACAAGATTTGACTCAAACCACAAACAAACAAAAAAAAAATCAGTATGATTGTTCTTTGAATTTTTTTTTAATTATGAAAAACATACAAATTTGTATATATGAGAATATCTTAGAAGTTAGAATAGTTTGTGATTCCTAGTTTCTAGAGATTTGTTTTTACTACACTTTAAGAGAATACCTCTAAATGTTTTATAGGTGAACTAGCTATACCATGCACATATGTATGAGTACGCCCGGCTTTAAATTTATATTTTTTATGGAAATAATTACAAATATGTATAGTAATGATTTCTAATAAATAGTATGGTTATTTCATATATATATAATCCTTCCTTCATTAATGTATTTATATTTTGTTATGAATATAAATACAAATATTTATAGTAATGATTCCTAAATAGTATAGTATTATATATATATAATCATTTCTATATAGTAATTATAATTTGTTGTTTTACAAGATTAATAGAGAAATAAATACAAATATTTATAGTAATTTCACATATAGAAATCTTTAGTAGGTACAATATTTTTATTTGTTATAGAAACAAATACAAATAATCCTAAATAGTATAGTAATTTCATATACATATAACCTTTCCTACACAGTAATGATTATATAGATCATTACAATATACTATACTTGTTATAGAATAAACACAAATCTGTATAGTAATGATTATTTAATAGCATAGTAATTTCTTAACATTGTTTTATATTTTGAGTTTATGTAAGAAGTAAGATGTTATAACAGACCTATTTGAATTGCCGCGTAAGACTTTGGAGATTTTGGTATTAAAGACGAGAAACATGTTTCATCATACAAATGGAATAACATTTGTATGATTTAAGTCCACTTAAAATCTACACATGCATCGAAAAAAAAAAAGAAAAAAGAAAATCTTAATTAGTCGATTTTTTTTTTTTTTGGTCAACCACAATTTATTTGGTTGATTATAATGGGTAAAAACTAAAAAACACATTATACGTTTCCTTTGTTCGTGGCATTTTCATTTTAATAAATTTTTAAATGGTAACATAAATATAAAAACACTAGATTCGGACCCGCACGTTCGTGCAAGGTTATATTTGTAGATGTATTTATTTGGTATAACATTCATTATCATACCTCATATCAGTTTAGTATTCGGTTTAGTTTCAATTTGGTTTAGACAAAATAATTAATCGGATTTGTTTTTGGTTACCGTAAAGACAATTACATAATTAAAAAGAGAGAGAGAAAATAGACATATCAATTTTGAGGCAGAAAATCCGTATGGTCACATATCTACCACACACATTTATTCACATAAGCGTTAATTTACTCGTTTGTGATTGTATATCGTGTAGGTCTAGGATTCGGATGGAATACCCGTATTTTATGTATTTTCGTTTAGGTATTTAATTTTTACATAATTAGTTGAAGTTATCCGTATTTTCTTTATATTCTCAATATTTCACTATTATGTTTGAGAAAATACCCAAATTTCCCAAAATTTCCATCACGAAATAAACTTTACTCGTTCCAAAATCTTTTATTTGGCATATGCTATGCTAGATAAATTGAAAGAAACATTTTAAATATATGATTGCAAGCAATGTTTTATTTTAATTGTAATTTGTTATACGACATTTTTTAAAAAATTCTCATCCCATCCCGTTCAAAAAGTAAGTTTCAATATTTAGGATTAACACACTATTATAATCTTAACAATATGTTTGCGAATCAAAGTATTAAATATAGATTCGAGTTATATGCTTGATTTTTTTTTAAAAAAAATCTATAATTAGAGTTATATTTGGCAAGTATAATAATTGTTGTGATATGATTTCGTAAACTAATTTAAGATTTGATTTAATCGTAAAAATTTGTATTTTCTATTTTTATTATTTCGAATTTGTTATTGTCAATTTTTATGGAAACCTTATTAAATCATAACAGTAAATTTAGTTTGTTTGAGTTTTAGATAGAAAAGACAAAAAAAATCTTTTTCAATATATATTGTTAATGCTCCAACAAAATAAATAAATATATTTTTTGAATATATATTTTTGACCAAAAACAAAATGCTCAACAAAATATATATATATATATATTTTTTTTTTTCTAATTTTTTTTTTGTTTTTTAAATTCAATAATTCTAATGGCATTCATTGTAATTAATCTACCAAAATAAGGTTTGTTAGTTTTGAGTGATTCCCAATTAATAATATAGATTCTAGTAATAGAAAAAAACGCTATTCTAATAATAAACAGATGAGTTTGTGGCATTCTAGCAATCTATCAACCAAAATTACTAAACCGTGCTTAATACTAACAATATGTTAATCTTAAGATATTTTTTTTTGTGTATGAAGAACACAAAATCTAATATTTATTAAACTATTAACGTAGAACATATGTGAGAAAATATAACAATACCGAAAAGATAATCGATGAACAGAGATTGCAAGTAAAAATAGAACCGAGAGCTTTAATGATCTCTCTCCTTAACTCGAAAATCTCCCGTAGTCCAATGATTTGTTGACAATTGGAGTCCAATGATACAACTGTTACTTATTTTGATTCGCAACACCCAAATTTAAAAACCGAACGAATGTTAACGGTGTGTTTCACCCTCAGACACAAGCAAAGCGAAAAGAAAGACGAGAGATTTGCTGTTTATTGGATGTGAATTCCATGTATGAAGTGAGAAGAATGGCCATGGCTTTTATAGCCAAATGACTCAACGTTCATATCCCTAAAGAGGATATGGTTAAGAAATTTTTTACCAAAACAGAAAATTCAGGTTTATATGAACAAATATAAACTTCTTGTTGTTATCCAGTAAGCAATACTCCTCCCTTGGTTTCGAAATTACAATAATAATATTGTCAACAACAACAATCTTATATATTCCAGTTTTCTGCTATCTCCGTTAGAAATTCTTGACTAAACAAAATTAACTTGCTCATTAAAACTCCTCTATATTTAGCTCGTAATTTCATCGAATCAATCCAATATGAATTATACATGTATATATGATACTTAATGGTAATTCAAAACATATGATTAATATTATTTTATTTAATATAGTAGATGATCTTTTATTCTCACTTTGAGAATATCAAACAAAACAAATCCTCAAATGCTTCAATGCAAAGAGTATTTAATAGTACAAATACCCTTTAATACAAAACGAATGTAAGGCATGCTTGGGAAAATTATTGGCCAACACACATCAGAAACTATACTAACGGTTTCACAACATTCTTTCTTAATCCCATGGACATGTCCATGTAAAATTCCTTTTATGCTTTCAAGACATTCTCTTGATGTGCTTTTAAACGCCTTAAAACACCCCTCCGGATCCGTTGGTTGAGCACTCGTAGGAAACCAAGTCATTGCAAAAACAAAAACCATAAGAAAAAATATAATCTTCATCGTCTTAGATTCCATTTTTCTATAATAAAATTAGAAACTCAAAAAAAATTTAGTTTTTTTTTTTTTAATATGTTAATGATGGAGGAGCTTCTTATACTTATTTTTGGTAGAATTTTGTATAGAATGACTAGATATGAGTTTATTCAAATTGGTAGACTTTTGTTTGTTCATTTCACCTAGTCAGATCTCAGATATGATAATAGAGTTCCATATATCTTGGTATATATGCTACTCAAATTCAGGATCATTTCCTTTATAAAAGATAGCCTTTTAGACAAGGTCACTTAATTATGTGTATGTGATCATGTATTACAGATACTACAAAATACATTTAGTTATCATATATAATATACCAAAGTAATTAAGCATTTCGCCAACTAGAGTGCCACCTTAATTTTTATATATTTTGTGCCAAAAGAATTAGAGAAATTACTAATGAGAACTAAATATATTAACTAATTGTTTTGATATAATACTATATATACAATGCCACATCATCAACAGTTTTTCATAATAATTCAATAATTCATTCATTTTTCAAAATTCAAAACAAGACAATATTTTTTGTAAGAATATTAATTTATATTTACTAGATTATTGTAAGAATTTTACAATAAATTTGAAATGTAGAAATAAAAATTATTGCATTAAGGCAAATATATATATATATATATATATATATATATATATAATTATTTTCTCTATCTATAAAAACTCTCTATTTACTTTGTAAAGAAAGTTTCTATTTACAACAAAATTTTAATATATGTTTTTTTGTTAAATTGTTTTTACTTAAAAAAAATTATAACCTACACATCAGACGGATCCTAATTTAATACATGATTGGACGAAAAAACAGTGTACCATTAAGACGAAAAAGGGATAGAGGTTTAGGTTGAGTCGAAAGGATTCACGACATATTTTGGATGTTTATGAGCTTGAAACAAGAATGAATGATTTTTCAATTTTCTCCGGGAATGGAAGAGAATGTGACCGTGAGGTTGAAGGTGTAATCTTTTTCTGCGGTTAAATAGGATTTGTGAACTAATTGATGCATATCTCCCTTGTTGATCAAAATTTTGTTATATTTATAGAAATACCTGGTTCGGGCAATGTTAGGCCTTAACACGGGTTGACCCATCTCGGTCGCGTTGGATGCGGTATACAAGAAACCATCATCACGACATGATAGAGCTGGTGGCTTACTTTCAGTGCATCGTCTTTGTTGTGATCGTAGTACTGTTGACTCTATGTGTCAACCGGCAAAATCACCAACATACTACTACTAGATTTTGTTTTATTTTATAAATGCGTTGATCATCTCAAACTACCAATATCTCCTATTAAACGTTTAGGCGCTAGTCTCTAAAATGTTACTTACTAACCGCCTAACGTTTTATCTTTATTTTTGTTAAATATTTAACGTATTTGATTACATTTATTTTGTTTAATCAGTGTTATCTACTTACACTATTACTCTATTAGGAGTCAAGATTAACACTAGTAATCTACTATATACCGTGGAAGATATTTTCACGTGATAAAAATAAAATGCAACATGGACTTTAATATTTTTGGATCGTCAAAAATGCTCTCGTCTATTACTATTATAATATATGGGGTCTCCGTGCCTCTTCGAAATTGAAATCATGTACCTTACCTCTTCGGGATTGAAACAATGATGTGGTTAGTACAGGACAACTTCTTTAAATGGGTATTTTAATAAATTAATAATTCTTTTACTTTAGATTTGGATAGATTCAAAATTTGAAAAAATATGATAAAACAACAACAAAAAGATATTTTCGTTTTTGTTTGAACCATCGAGTACTGTTTTTCTGCAGTTATTCGGCACGGTTCTATTCAAAACCTTCACAAATAATAATTTTACATATACATATAGTTATGATAGTTAACAACTGTATGATTATAATTATACTATTGTTTATTGATTTTTCTCTTAAAATTAAATTTACTCATCTCTATATATGTTTGTTATTGCATCAAATGTCTTTCATAATGTGTTTTCAAATCAAACTAAGGTATGTAGTAGTATCATTTTCAATTTTATTATCAGCACTAAATAATACTCCCTCTTAATGAGAAAGAATGATTTTCTCAGTTTTTCTCCAAGATTAAAAAAATAATAAATGATATACATTGATTAATTACTTCTGTGCTATATCTTTTAAAACATTAATTTTAAGTTGTTTTTTACCCTACTTACTCCAATCAATTGATCTTGAAAATAAAAATACAATAAATATACTACAGAAAATCAATCCTTTTGATACAAGAATAAAACCTCAAAAATCATTATTTTTGATACAGAGGGAGCATAACCATAATTTCTAAGATACATCCTTTTTTGTAAGGATTTCTAAAATCTTTGAAGTATTTTTTCCTAATCATGGAAGCAAGCTTTCAAGAGTTATTTTTGTTTGATTGAATGTTGTGGTTATATATCATCATCGATAAACTCTAGACATATAAATCTCAAATTGTAAAAGTAAAAAATTTATTTATGCTACTTAATTAAATTGGGTTATGAAGATTACGAGAAATATTTTTTAAAAATGTGCTAAAATTTGAGTTATTTTTGTTTACGATTTTGTCACTTGATTATTTTCTGAATAATCAGATCATTTGCGTCGTTAGCGACCATAGAGATTCTATAATTAGAAAAATCGAACGTGCTACATTTTAAAATACCACGTGAAATTCTTATAATATTATAAGATTGTACTATGTGACAAGTCCCAATCTGATTATTAAAAACAGAAAAAAACTAGGTCCCAATTAATCTATTACAATAATAAAAATTTTACAACAATTTCAAAAAGTTATTGCCTTACCCTCCTGGTCTTTCCTTTTTTTTTTTTTTTTCATCACCTCCTGGTCTTTCCTTCACTGGCAAAAGATGAACAAAATTATTTGTCTATATAATACAATTGGTCAGAATTAGATTCTCAACACAAACCTTGAAACTCTCCAAATAATAGAAATGGTTACAGAGAAGAACATACCACAAAATCAGTCCTCTTGTTCTGCTTCTTCTGTTTCGTTTACTATGCAGAAGTTGTAAGATGCGCAAAACCTTATTACAACCTTAAACAAAACCTCTTAACCGAGACAGACGCTATAATAACAGAGACAGTAGCAGAAGCAGTAGTAGAAGGAAGTCATTACGTGAAGAACACGGTCTCGCCATGTCACTTTACGAGCTCGAGCTCTGATTCTTCTCTTCCAAAGGAAAAACAACACGAGAAGCTCTCAGCCGTGGCGACACTATGGAGAGAGCGTCCTCCTACTTCTTACTGCATCAAGTTCCAGTCTTTTGCGACTTTGTTGAAACTCGTGAAAGATGGGAAGTATGAGTCACGTCCTTTCACCATCGGTGGATACAATTGGTATTAAAAGTTTCAATAACATATTTTCAAGAATCTGACTTTTTCTTTTTTGACTTTTTTCACTAATCACAACATTTGCATATCTATTAAAATGTTTAAAGGACGTTCCTAATCTACCCGAACGGCAACAAAAAAGACGGGGCGAATGGATATGTTTCGCTTTACGCAAGAATCGATAACTTAACTCTCTTCTCCGATCCAAAGGATGTGTATGCGGAGGTCAAGTTCTTCGTCTACAACAGAGTCTACGACAAGTACGATACATACCAAGTTACGTAACATATTGATATATTGTAAATGATTGATATTTATTATACACATCTTATTTATCCGGTTAAAAAAGTGTTGTTCCCTTGCTATTAGACCTTACTTCAAGTTTATTACTATGTTTGGAAAATGATGATATATGCTTTTTGAATTTATTAATCTAGGGAGATTGTGTGAACAAAATGCCTAAAACGTTCTAATTACACTTTAACCTCTATAAATTAATACCTCGATAAATCAATATATTTCTTCGGTCCCAAATTGTTATAATTATTATGTAAATCTTTTGGGTCCAACAAATTGAATATCATAAATGAAAAAAATTATTGTAGAAACTGAGGCGAGGAGGTTTCATTTGTTCAAACCTGAATATGGAGTTCCATTATTTCAACCGACATCGGTGTTCTCAACGCCGACAACCGGATACATTTTCGATGGAGAACAATGTGTGTTTGGAATTGACATCTTTGTTGCTCAAACCTTCAAGGAATGGGAAGTTTTCTCCTTTGAAGAAAACATCAAAGACCCCATATACACATGGAAACTCACCAAATTCTCAACTCTCTATAGTGACTCTTACACATCCGCCCCCTTTTCTTCCGGAGGAAGTAGCTGGTGATTTTCTCTGTCTCTTTCTATATTTTAATTATATATACAAACACTATGTTATCTATCTTTCAATGTGTTAATAAGTAATGTTAATGAAATAGGGTGTTGAAGGTGTATCCAAATGGAGATGGTTATGGAAAGGGCAATTCATTGTCACTCTATTTGCTGAGTGAGTCTAATGAAAATGCTTATGTTCGAGCCAAGCTAAGAGTTCTGGACCAAATTCGATCCAACCACGTGGAGAAGCTAGGTCAGTGTTCTCTCACTATTTATTTTTCCTTTAATTTTGTTAACAACTAAAACTTTTCATTGAATTCATTTATTTTTATTTTGATGGACAGTGGACGGATGGCCTAATGCAACAGCTAATAATAATGGATGGGGTTACGAGAAGTTTGTATCACTTGCTGATCTTAAAGATGCAGCTAAAGGGTTAGTGGTGGACGATGCGATTAAGGTTGAAGTCGAGTTCACTGGCTTCTCTAAAACAGACTCCACCTTAGATGTTTTCTATTAGGATTTGGTTTCAATGTCCTAAATAATAATAAAAGAGTTTCTAACTCTTTTTTTGTTTTCAGATTTGGGTTTTATTTAGTTAGTTCCACTCATAATGTGACCACTTTTGTTTCTGTAAGAGCTTCCAAGATTTAATAAATGAGTGTTCCCTTTCTACACTACATGAAAATGATCCTCTATAATGAGATTCTGTCAAAATAAATGGTTAGAATTATCATTTTGAAAAGGCATTTTAGGAATAGTCTACATACCAATAAACTCATTGCTAATTGATTTTTGGTTAAAGCATATAGATTCTCATGCGGTATAAGAACCTAGTAACCAAAAATAGGTGTGATGGATCTATCGAGAAAAAAGAAAGAAGGATTCGATTCGAGATAAGGGTAAATTATGTGATTTTCTCTGTGTGTATGTAATGATGATTTCGTTGATACTTGTGTATGTATTGTTGATTTTGGGATAGCTTTGTTGTAGAAATGAGTTTAAGAGAAAGTCGCACTCCGGAAACATATTGATGTGATGACGTTGGTTGATGAGAATTTCACTAGAGCCAACAATCTTCATTACTTGTAATTTTATTATATGGAAAACAGATTGTAATTTCATTCAACCAAATATAAAAAGGTAATTGTTATATGTAAAATACATTTGACAAATATTAAAATAGATAATTAAATTGTCATTCTTACGAATATCAAAACGAAGTAAATACTCTTCAAATTGACACTTCAATGCAATGAGTATTTGACTGTACAAATACCCTTCAATAGAAAACGAATGTAAGGCATGCTTGGGAAGATGATTGGCCAACACAAATCAGAAATTGTACTTACGGTTTCACAACATTCTTTCTTGATCTCATGGACATGTCCGTGTACAATGCCCTTTATGCTCTCGAGACATTCATGTGGTGGGTGTTTAATTGCCTGCCAACATGCGTTAGGATCGATCGGTTGAGCACTCGAACAAGACCAAGTTATCAAAAAAACAAGAACCATGAACAAAAAAGTTATCTTCATCATATCGTCTTAGATGCAATTTTCTTTATCAGATTATAAATAATTAAGTGAATTTAGTTTGTAACACTTCTGTTCTTGATGATGATGATGATAATAATGTCGGCTTTTTATAGTTCTTCTTTACCATATTTTTCAAATGGAATGGTTAGATTTTTTCTTTGTTAAATAAAATGGTTAGATATTGATTTACTCAAATTGGTAGTTATTTTTCTTCTACATTTCACCTAGTCAGAAAATTAAGCATAATTAAATGTAACATAGTAAGTGCTACTCAATTTGAAGATCATTTCTCTAGTAGAACATAAGTGATTATGAGTATTAAGACATGCAATTTTAATTAGATATAGATATGATTCTGTATCTAGGATAACATATCTTTTAATTTAATTGTTGTAGATATATTCATATTTTACTCTTCTTTTCAAAGTATAAAATCACTTTGTATATACATTTTCTTGTACATTTCTTCAATCAATATGCAAGAAATCGTTTTTACATGGAAAACTTTAGAAGAAATTATCTTCAGTCAATATTCTTACAAGATTATAATCCTTGTCCAAGCCAACTTACTTTAGTATGATATTGTCCGCTTTATGCCAAGTGATCACGCCTCACGGATTTTTTTTTGTGCTCATTCCCAAAATGTCTCATACTAATTGAAATTAGAGTTGAACTATTATTTCTAGTCTTCTAATGTGGAACATTGGTTTGTATCCTAACAATATTTGTTTTTAAATTATTATTATTGAACATTTGATGATAAACACTTCAGATAAGGAGGAAATTAAAATTTCCAAAATGAGGAACGAAAAGAAATGAATGTGGATGAAGAAAGTATGAAAAAAATTTCATAATAAATGGTAACCAAAAAATTGAATAAATATTTTGAAATATATTTAACATCTTTGATAATATTTATTAATATTTTAGATTATAAATTAAAATAAAATTTTAAGAAATAATTTGATTAGTTATTTTAATTAAAATTATTTAATTGAAACATTTCTTAAATTTAGCTGAGTATCAATACTAATTTAAAATAAATTGATAACATTAATCTAATTTATTTTTTAATATCAATTTTTTTATAATTATATAAAAATAAATGTAAATATTATCATAAAAAATATTTGAAATTTTTCAATAATAGAAACCAAATTTAGTTTTTGTTCCCTATTATTCCTCTTCAACTTTGGAAAGTTCTATAATTCTTTACTCCATGGAAAATGAAGAACAATAGTATAAGATTCACATGTCTGAAAATTGAAAAACAAAATGGTAAATGGGTAACAAATTTTGACCAAGTAAAAAGATTCCTCTTCATTTTATTTTTCCTCAAAACTGTCACCAATTAAAACCTTGAAATTTTCATCGACTTTTGTTAACTCGAATAGTGTGGGCCGCTTATTGGGCCATAATAAAACCGAGAATAGTCTGGCAAAATCCAGTGGCCTTTTTATTTACTAAACTCGACATGGTGAAGTATGAAGATGAACCTGTAGCCAAACAATGCTTAACCTCTTCGTATCGTTATCGGCGATTTCGAATTCGAAACCTCATCATCATCATCTTCCGCGATAATCCCGCGCTCCTGCGAAATTTAAATTCTCTCTTCCATGAAGGATCACATTCTCATCTCCGACGGAGAAGATCAGTCTACTCCACTTCCATCACTGTCGAAGCGTGCTCGAAAAGATCCCATCTCTGCGATACTGATTTCGGATTCAGATCCGACACCGCAGAAGCAACCGCCGGAATTTTCTTCCACTCCTATTTTCGTCCCTGAGACACCTCTCTCTGATGATTTCTCTGTTGTCAAGTGTTCCTTTGGTTCTGGAGCTTTAGCTTCTAACCGCGAAGACAAATTCTCCGGTAACGTTCGTCCAGAATTTTCTCGATTCTCAGTATTTAGGTTTAGTTTTAGCATCTCATGAGACGGAATTGATACCGGAAACCTTGTTCTACGTGAAATGTTTTGATTTTTTGGGATCTCAGGTTGAATCATCTGGCTAAACAATAATTCGGCTACTTTTCTATGTTTCTTTTGGCATCTCACTAGGAAAACGGATAATATCTTTGGATTCGGAGTTTGAAGACAGTCCTCGACCTGAAACTTCGAAGAAGAATGAATCCGTGCTTGCTGGTTTTAGGGAGCCACGTTTTGGATTGGAAGCTGGAACCAGTGAGGCATACTATAAGAATACTAGAAGAACTGAGACAAATTTAGGTCTGCTTAACCCAAGACCAAATTATTGTGCATATGTATTATACTATCATCAGTGTATGGGTGATGGAAGTTCATTTTTATTGTCCACGTGTAAATGCTGGTTGCTGTTTTCTTTCAGATGATAATACTAATTGGATGCATGAAGTTAGTTTTCGCTCTTCGCAGACTAATGATACTATCGAGGTACTTATCTGCAAGAAACTAGTACCATACTGTTCATCATCGATACATGATTAGGAACTTTTGTCTCTATTCCTTGTGTGATTTTGCTAAGCTGTCTTTTAGAGGATGTGACACTTCTGGATTCTCATAGTATGTCATTTGTTTGTGTCTTTAGAGTTCAGGTTGTGCTGCTGTTTTTTCTTTCATTTTGTTTCGTCTTACTCTTTTTTCTAAATGGTATCAGGTCGATTCTGACCAAGAAAAAGAGGATATAAGCGTTGAGAAAATGGGTCGACAAAAGAAGATCAGAACTACAACTCTTCCAGGTGAGGCATTGCCAAAAAAGCAGCTGTCGAAGGCAGACAAAACATGTGCAATGGAGGAAAAAAAGTTAAGAAAAGAGGTAAGTGTTCTTTAAGTGACTTTTTCTATTTTTTGTTTCCTGATCAATAGTTAACTGGCTTCCATCATCCAGCAAGAGAGATTAGAGAAAGCAGCCTTAAAAGCAGAAGAAGCTGAGCGTAAAAGATTAGAGAAGGAAAAGAAAAAATGGGAAAAGGGAAAGTTAGCCCTCAAATCTATTGTTGCCGAGATTGATACTAAAGTGGTTGAAGGATCCATTGGAGGTAAGGAATTTCTCTATTCTTTGTATTACTCTTCAAGATATGATGATGTTTGCTCTTTTGACTCTCTTTTTTGTTTCATATAAATGTTAACATAGGACTTCTGCTTTCAAGGTTCTCTGAGAAAGGCATTACAATCCACGTAGGCCCTAATCCAATTGAGAGATCCATTGTGTGGACGATGACAATTCCAGAGAGTATTGCTCCGGTACAACTAATTCAGTCACTTTGTTTTTTTTTTTTTCCGAATTTTTTTCTATATGTTTATAAAATTGCTTGCATCCTGAGTCTCACAACTGACATGTATGAAAATTAGTTTTTAGAATCCAGAACTTGCAACTAGAATCAGCTCTCCGAGTCTGGTCTGTATCATTGTTTAATGTCAGGATAAGCATGAATTTATGAGACATTTGGATCATACTCTTCTGCGTTGCAAGTTTCATATCTTCGTAATTTTAGTGGTGGTTGTCAAATCTATGATTTCATCTCTGGATAGTCTTCGAATGGCAGGAGGTTTTGAAAAACTATTTAAAGTTTATGTTGCTCTATTCCTTGTGTTTCAGATCCATGCATTTTTTTTATCAAACTTACTTTGCTTGAGTGTTTTTCTTGAATATTTTTCTTGAACTTCCATCTTTAAGAATGAGATAATTGTTTCTTAGAAAGAGATAGATCAAAGAGTACTTCAGTACACCTGACATTGAATTGCGTTACATATTATGAGATATAACAAAAGAAATGAAACCCTTTTGCTATGGGTTAAAAGACCTTTGAAGATCAGTACTTGACTAAAACTATATGAATCATCTGTATCCAGTATCTCATTTTACTCTTAATTATCATCCTCTTTTCTCTGTTGCAGCTTTTCCCCCAAGGGCCCAAGATTCCTTATGTGCTACTTGTATATGAAGCTGAAGAATTTTGTAATCTTGTTGCTAATGAAAAGCTTCTAGAAAACATCTCAAGAGTTCAGGACCGATACCCATCTCATACGGTGTGCTGCCTCACCAATAAGTTAATGTCGTACGTAAAGAAAAGGTGTGTTTGATAAAGTAAATTGGTGTTATATTAAAATGTTTCCATCATCAAGCTAAATAAAACCAATCTTCTAGGGAAAAGGAAGAGTACAAAAACCCGGGAAATTGGAGACGGCCTCCTATCGATGAGGTAATGAGCATCTATTTAGAGGAAAGCCTGTTTATTGCTCCTATGTTTGTGTCTTTAAACATACTTTTGGGGCATTTGATGTGTATTACACAGGTACTTGCAAAATTAACTACTCACTATGTTAAAGTACATTCCAGACACTGTGTAGACGAGGCTGAGGTGGCTGAACATATTGTTGGCCTAACAAGCAGTCTGGCCTCTTGCCAATTTAGGTACAAAAATCTACTTTTTTTTATTTCGATATGATGTTGGATGGAAGTTTTGATTTCTTTCCCCAATAAATCCCATTAGACCAATGAAACCAATAACATCTTGATAAAAACCTGTGAAGTCTAAATCATATGCATCTTCACGCGTTTAACAACTTAACGAAATAAAGGTCTCACATTGGGAGCTCATCACAAAAAATGGGCAGTAAGGCTCGTCTTGATGTTAAATCTATAAAGCCTCTTATAGTCTTTAAATCATACAAGGCTGAGTACCGAATGAATATCTGGAAGATCAACATTACGTAGTACTGAGATGATAGATAAACGTGTGGCTGATAATGTATTTCTCTGCATGATTTAGCAAAACTAATCATGGCTCTACTATCTGATGCACAGGAAGAAATTAACTATGTTCTCAGTAAGCGCTAATGGTGCATTAGTCTCCAAGGATTCAGTTGACAAGCACTTGATTAAAAAGAGTCCATGGTAAAGTAAAGTAGAACCATTTTGAAAATAGGTTCTGTTTTAGTCCCTTTGAATCTGTTTAATATGTAAAAATATTATTGTCTATAGGTTAAAAGCGTTAGTAGCAATACCAAAGGTACAGCCACGATACGCTTTAGCAGTGTGGAAGAAATATCCCTCCATGAAGTCTCTTCTTAAGGTTTATATGGACCCTAACAAATCGGTAAGTAAAAACATGTGAGACATACTTGGATTTGAGTTTCTTAGTTTGTTGTTTCTAACGGTTTCTGTAGCATATTGTGTTAAACAAATGAACAGGTTATTTTGTGTCTTTTTTTTTCAGGTTCATGAGAAGGAGTTTCTACTAAAAGACTTGAAAGTGGAAGGGTTAGTGGGAGGAGACATAAGGTTGGGTGAGATTTGTTCAAAGCGGATATACAGAGTTCTCATGTCTCACAATGGAGCCATTAAGACGGATGACGTCGAAAATGGTGCTGCTTTCTTCACAGTTTCTCCAGGTGTTATTTAGAGTCGAAGAACTTAGATTCTTCAAACATAAAATGATAAAATAAAACCATTTTAACCACACTAAAATTTGTGCTCTCTTTTTAGATCTGCTTCCCCTATTCATTTTGGATAAGTTCGACTTATCCAACATCATTGGTTTCCTCTAAGAAGTATTTTATTCTACTGTAGAACCGAAATGTAAACCACAAAAAAGAAAGGTTCTTACTCCAGTTAACCTTTCTTATTGACATTGCAATGGAAGATCTCAAGCACGGCTCCCATGAATGTGTCCTAACTTCTGCTTCAGTGATGAACACTGCAAGAGGAATTCAGCTGTTTTTGTTAACGTTGTTTTTAATTCTTACTACAGAGATGTAATGGGCCAAAATTAAGCTCGTGAATGATTTTCTATGTAGTCTCTTGCTTCGCGAGGTCTCTCGTCCCTCCTAGTATCTAATCTTCGTTGACTTTTTTTGCTTCCATCACGATGGCAGAGCTCAAGCACGGATCCCATGAATGTGTGTTGATCTCGCCGGAGATAGTTGTAGACGGCATTTGCAACATGTGCTACAAAGATGAACCTGTGGAGTTTGCCTGCAACCCTTGTAACTTTGATATATGTAAGGCTTGCTCAAATGTACCACAAAAGGTGTCACATGATTTTCACCCTGAGCACCCTCTAGAGTTTTGTGTAAGCAAAGATGATAGGAAATGCATAGACATGCTCTGCTCTGGGTGTGGTCATTTGTTTACTGAGCCCTTCTATTACAAGTGTAAAGAATGTGAAATCTACTTGGAGCTGAGCTGTGGGTTCACTATAGCCATGCCCAATTGATTAGGAGATGTAGACCAGGACGAAACGTCAAAGGATCTTGCCTTCTCTGTGAGCTTCCTCTTTCTCCCTCTGCAATATGTTACGGTTGCCTTCAATGTTACTCATTTGTTCACGAGCGCTGCCTTGATTTTCCGAGAAAGATTCAGCATCATGTGCATCCGGCACACCCTCTCATACGCCTTGATTTCACACATACTTGTGGTAGGGGAAAATTGTGTGATGCCTGCGGGCTTCATATCGATGGTGCCCCTTTTGGTTGCCCAGAATGCGGTTTTGATCTTCACATGAGGTGTGCAGATTCCTTGTTGCGAGGTTTGATGCACAAGTCTCATCACCACAGATTGTTTTATGTAGCTACTGGTGCTCAAGAAGCTTTTGGAGAGGAAAACCCATGTCAAATATGCATGAGAACGGATGTGATCTCTCTTGAATCCTTCTATCATTGCGTGGAGTGTGGTTTGAAATTTCATTTCGAATGTCTTGGAATACCAGAGTCTGTTTTCAAGAAATCTTGTCACATTCATCCACTTGTGTGTAAAGTGTTCTTACCGGAGGATGATTCTTTGGAATATTGTGGCGTTTGCGAGACAGTAGTGTACACAAGACATCATTCATATTCATGCGAAGAATGTGATTTTGTTGCCCACATTGAATGCATTCTACACGAGGTAATTAATTTGTCACCTCAATTCTATTTGTTTCCTTAATGATGATATTGACCTACTCTTACTCATAATCAACAGAAAATTCCTTCCCCATTGTACTTGAAAGAACTGTATCCTTGTGGCGACGACATGACGAGACCAATAGATAGAGAAAACTATGAAGCCAAGGAATCAGAAAATAAATTCTTGGTATGGTATTTAATAATAATAACCCACACATTGTTGGAAGAAATTTGAATTTTTTTTTCTTTGTTTAGACCCATCTTCTCTCAATTGTTTTAGCTATATGTTGCAGCTTAATGATATTTGGCATAACCATATGATGACATTGGGCGACATTAATGACACTCTTCGTGTGGTCTGCAACATATGTGATGGGGATATACTTGGTAGACCATGGGAATGCAAGACCTGTATATTTATGGCACATGATTACTGCATGGAGCTGAGGAAACCATCAAGGCATAGATTTCATGTGAACCATCTTTTGACACTCTTGCCAAGTTACCCTGCAGGTTTTATAATGAATTGCGACACCTGCAAAACGAAAATAGAAAACTTCAACCTCTTCTGTCGGGTATGCAATTTTATCATCTGTACCAAATGTATGGTAAGAGCTAAACAAGTTCTTGGAGAACTACATAAGGGGCAGAAATTCATTGGAACCACTCAAGGAAGATGCTTCAGAAGGATGCATGACTTGATTGAAGTTATGGTATCGAGGTCATATGCTACGGCTTGCACTATTTGTGTTGAGAGGTTGTGTGGAAAAGTTTTGACATGTGTGACATGTAAAGATATATATCATCCCCGGTGTATTCAACTTGGGATACAAGTACGACGCGGTCATCCCCTTCATTCTGATCACAGTCTAGAAATGAAACTGACAAGTGGATCCAAGTGCATTGCTTGTAAACTGAGTATTAAACGGTATGGTTATAATTGTTCTACTTGCAAAGTCAGTTTCCATATTGAATGCATCGAAGCGGTGAGTATATCAGGAAAGATCAAGTCTCACAAGCACTACCTCTACAACTTTTGGATGGATAATTCGCGGTTGAATAGAGCATGCAGTATTTGTGGTAAAACATGTGGTGCATCCTTCTACGGTTGCATTGATTGTAATAACTTCAGTTCCCATGTAGAGTGTATTGGGTTTCCGGCTAATGTGAGGAATCAACAACATCAACACAATGTTGTGCAAAGTTATTCTTGGTGCAGGATGAGTTGTTCACTATGTGGATTAGACATAGAAACATCTGAAAAATTTCGCTATTCATGCAATCACTGCAAGGATGTGTTTCATATGAAATGCATAATGTCCATGGTAACGGCTAGATCGGTCATGTAGTAGAAATAAACCCATATATTCTTTTGTTTTCTTTGATTTCAGCATTTTTTTGTTTTCTATTGTAACAGGATGAACGTGAGGCAGCAACAGAAGAGGAGCAGATTAAGGATATCTATCTTATGTACATAGAGCGGGATCTCTTTAGCCTGCTCAAAGACGTAAGTCTTAGTTTGGTTATGCGTCCCCTCTATGATTTAAATAGTTTAACTTCTCTTGTGCATCAAAATCCTCTCATGTTCTTCTTCTTGTGTTTGCAACAAAACAGGCCTTATACCAACACACGAACAGTGATGATGAAGACAATGACAACGAAGATAGTAATGTTGAAGGCAGTGATTTTTAGGTTCCGCCTCCCTCTCGAAAACTAAGCAATGCAACTTCTGTTATCTTAAGGTTATGCCTCCAATTCCTCCCATTATTTCCTTATGTAGTTTACTATCCATTTGGTGAATCAAATTTACTCATGCTCTCACTGCACGGATGTGTTTTAAACCAAACACATAACGCCCGTGGTAAAGATTTAATTGATCATCATGTAGAACTAAAACCATGTCTTCGTTTGTAACCGTATCATACAAGAAATTTCAACAGAAGAGAAACAATTTTAAGACATCAATGATCTCTTTGAACTTCTCAAAAAATGTATCATACAGAAGGTTCAACACAAGTTTCTGCCTCCTCCTCTGAAACTTAATCCTACTGTAACCTCAAGTCCTCTCATTTTCTCTTCTTGTGTTTTCTTACAATGCATTTGTTAACCACTTTAGTAATATGTTTGTTTGATCTCTGTATCTTGGTTTTTTATTTATCATTATTGTCACTCACAAGTTTGACGTTTTAAATGATCTCAAACTTCTAAAAGTAAACGAAAAGTAAAAAGGTTCTCACATCATTTACGTTTAAACTTTATAGGCACACCAAAAGATGAACAAATATGAAGCTACACAAATACAAATTGAGGACAACAAAATGTTACAAATGAATTGAATCAGTAAACACACAGTTAAGAAAAAAAGAAGAAGATAAAACCCCATTTGTAATCATTACATTACAATACAAACTATATACAGTAGCATTATAAATCAAACGATTTTTAAAAAATTTGGCAAAAAAAAGAAGCAGAAGTTTCGATTTAAGAAACCTCTCAAACAAAAACAAAAAATCAAGTGGTGGTTTACTTGTTAGACCACTGGAATTCGATCTCAAGGTTTCTGGGGCCACTTTTGCTTTCTGGTAACAAACTGTATTCACCTGCAACTGCTCCCAGCATCACCACCCTATCGATTTGGATCGTTACTTTCCCAAAGGAACTCTGCGGGAAGAAAAAAAGGAGCGAAAAACAGAGTGTCAGATGTAAAAAAACGATAGACAGCAAAACTAAAAACTGTGAAATATGAGTTAAGTTTGATGATATACCTTTCCCATTTTGCTTTTGTTCTTGCATGAAATATGGAGTTTTTGACCTTTGGGAGGGCTCTCAAATGACCATGAGAAGCTCTCGTCCCACTCTGGATTAGGACCTGTCGATATCACCTGAGAAAATCGAAGGATACGGTTGATATCTACGGGATCACTAGTCACAGTGAATTGACGAAAGGGTGATACGTCTTTTCCTACCTTGGTTTGTCTAGGAGGGTTGTTGCCGAGTGTTATCTTGCAGAACACGCTCGGGTTACCAACGGATTGCTTCATGTTGTTACCACGTTTGATAGTGACCACCAGCGTGCCTGGCAAACACTGCAAGAGGAATTCAGCTTTCTCCTGGAACCGCGGTGGACCTGATTGGATTAGGTACTGAAGTAAGGGGATGGCGTCTGCAGCAGCAACTGATTGGGCCCTGGAAACTTCGGCAGGACAGGCTGACCAAGCTTGTCTGAGAAGAAACAATGCATCCAAGGCAGCTTCTTGAGTTGCTTCCGATCCTGTCTTGAGGGATGTAACTAGATGTGGTATACTTAGTGTTGCAGGCTCTGTGGCTCTTAGACGCGGGAAGTTGTTAAACAAAGAGTTTAAAGCTTTTAGATATTCATCATTCACGGTTCCAGTGGCCCATAGGTCTTTCTCAATGGCAGCTGCAAATTAAAAGGAAGTAACATCTGAGATATAAGATGAATAATACGAAAGAGCAGATCATATTGCGAGATTTTCTCACCAGTTATTGCTCTGACGGTTTCGCTAGATGCGTACTCTTGAACAGTGTGATTAGAGAAGAGAAGTTTTACAAACATTGCAGCCTGAACAGATGTTTCAGGATCACTGGAACTGATCAGATCCAAGACAACCTGCACACCACCTGCCTCGGCAACTGCTCTTTTGTTAGACCGGCTATACATGACGAGGTTTTGCAGAGCACATATAGCAACTACTTTCATTTCTTCTGTGGGTTGTTCTTCAAGGACATTGACTAAAGCACGGCAAGCAGAAGCTGCATCAGTGCTTCTAGCAAGAGCTTCATTCTGGAAAAGATCACCAAGGGCCAAAGTTGCTAGTAATCGCGCCTGCTGGGCTTGAGTTTGTGGATCCAAGAGGTACTGAGACAATGGCAAGATTGCAGTCTTGGTGGCTTTTGAATCTCTAATCTTCACATTGTTGAGCAGTACCTCGAGCAGTCTCGCTGCTGTGTCCTCACACTGATGAGACCTTAAAAGATCAAGCAGAGCTTCTATGGCACCACTTTCAGCCATGGACTCCGCACTGGTTCCATCATCACTTTCCAACACTAGAAGAGCGTTAAGTGCACCAACCACAGTGTTTTCAGATGCAGAGCGAAGCAGTCTAACAAGAACAGCGACAGGAACTTCCAGGTAAAATTCGGAGCTAAATTGCAAAATGATAACCAAAATTGATGCTGCAGACTCCCATAACACATTGGAAAGCGATGGATCAGCTTGCAGTATCACCTTTGACAGCTCACTCACACCACCTTCTTTAGCTATTTCATTTGGCCATGTCAGAGCAATGCTAACAAGAGCTTTCACAGCTCTCTGCTGTAATAGGTGTATGCCGGATCCCAGCACATGGATTAAAGGACCGATCGCAAGTTGCGTTAATGGATCTTTCTGCAGATGCTCCTCGTACAGAAGATGAGACAGAAGCTCAGCTGCCAACTGCTGTACTGCTGGGGATGGAGATTCCAGCAGCGGAATGAGCGGTTCAATCACTTGGTGCGGTGTAAGTGTATAATCAGCACGGCATTGTGGATGTTCTAAGATATTTACCAGAACTTGCAGAGCACTGTGCTGTCCATCAGCTCCAAACTCCAATCTCGTCAGCAAATGGAAAAGTGGCTCCACCACTTTCGCAGCAGATTGTCCCTTGGCAATAGTAGCATTATTTGTGAGGATGCGAAGCAGTTCTGAAAACGCAGCACATAGAAAATCTGGAGCTTCGTGGAGAATATCAAGTACGCAGTCGATAACTCCAGCTTTCACCATTTCCAGTTTACAAGCAGGCCTGTCCTTACCTAACTTTACTAAAGCCCTGGATATAGCCTCATGAAGCACATAGTTTTTACCATAGAGAAGGCCAACAAGAGGAACCACAGCACCATGCGCTGCAACTAGTTCAGCCAGTTGTTCATCATCGACAAGCTTGTCCAGTGCACGTACAACTGAATGCTGAGCAGGGCTGAACTCAGTCACAAGAAGAGAGACAAGTGGCTCAACACAACGCGCTGCAGCAACTGTAGACCTAATCCTTGTATTTGCAAACAGAACATAGCACAGCTCTGCAGCATCCCCCTTCAGTTCCATCGTATAGTTTGAAGAAAGGATCCTGCAGAGAACATCCACTGCATTCATCTCCACATCTGCAACTGCCAGAGCCCGTGATGGATTATCACTCAACAACCTAACAAGTGCAGCAATAGCAGCATGCTGCTCCCTCTCTGAACCAGTGTTAAGAATCTCTACCAATGGCTGAACAGCTTGTCTAGAAGACTCTGCATTTCTTATATGGTCAGCAGTAAAGAGACTATCCAATGCCTTGGCGGCACTGTACCTTGCTCCTCTTCCACCAAGACGCAAAACTGCTACAAGTTGGCTGACGGCGCCAAATGCTGACTCATGCCTTCGAATTTCAGCACTGCTAAATAAGATGCCTAAAAGACCAGTTGCAGCTTCCTCTTGCTCGTCCTGAGGTCCAAGGGAAAGATATTTCGAGAGGCCCTCAAGAGCACCTGACTCTACCATGACAATCATATTTTGTGGACAGTCTCCAGCAAGCTGAGTTAGAAGATTAAGTGAAAGTAGAGGAGCACCGGGGCGGTCTGGAATTGGTTTAAGAAGTTCAACTAGTAAGGGAATCGCCTTTCGAGAAGTAGCCCCAACTCTAATATCTTCAACTCGGAAAAGCCTTTCAAGGGCAACCTGGTCCGGGTATCGCACTAAAGCGAACTCCTGTGACAGCTGCAGAAGTTCTTTTATGTCATCATCAGAACAACCAAGCAATGATATAAACCCAGCCGCAGCACCGGAGTTTGCAACAGATAGAAGAGTTCCCCGACTACCGTTACAGACAAGACTAGCTAGAGCTTGTGCTGCAAAATATCTGTCTGCATATTCCTCTGACTTCACAAGATTTGAGAGCACTGGAACAGCCTTCATTGTTGCATGTGCGCGAGTGATTTCTCTGTCCTGGAAAAGTATGGCTAGCAATAAAGCACAAACCCAAATGTTGGCGTCTTCTCCATTATCAGCCTGAAATGTAAAAAAGTATTAGCAGTTAAGCAATATAAACGAAAACATAACGTCCCAAAATGAGTTAGAGTGTTAAATGCTATCACAGATTCCTAATATGCATTTTTGAATCCATGCTTCTGATAAGCTGTGTTCTCAAAGATTGTAATCTGTAAGAGAATTCAATACCTGGAGAAAACGGTTGCCTATTCTGTCAGTAATCAACTCGATGCCTTCTGACTCCAATATTACTGCTCTGCTCTTTTCATCATGACAAGAAAGAACCGAGAGCAACCAGATGGCTAAATTGTCACCAGAAATAACTGTGGAACCCTCCCTATTTTCTGTTGCCTCTTCTTCTTCATCTTCTTCCTTTTCTTTGGGATGAATGCATATGCAGATTTTATCTTTCTCATCCTTTTCCTGATCTTGCACAGAAATCTGAGATGAATCTAGAATCCGCACAAGTGCTTGAACAAATTTGGCACACAATTGTGTCTCATTCAGATTTTCTATCATCTTCTGGTCGTTAACTTTGGCAGCACAGATAATAATAGCAGCTCCACCAATTTTTATTTTCGGGTCCCTGGTACTTATCACCCTTTTAGCTATAGATGACACACAATCTCTGGCATTGTTGACCATGTTTCCCAAAACCATAGGCTGATCTCGGCAAAGTCTTGACAATACTTCAATAGCTTTGTCCTGTAGTGAAGGATTAGCAACACTCACTATAGATGAGACTATTGGGGCCATACTGTTAGGAGATTCAGCCAAAACAACCCAAGCTGGT